CTAGAGCGGATTCAGCATAAATATCAACGGCGAGCACATCACCCAGACAACAGACGATATCGATCGTAGTCATGGCCGAGATCGTGGACGATCTAGGCACAATGCTCGATGGCCTCAATAGAGTATCTCAACGAGTGGGTCTCAAAATGAACATGGACAAGATTTAAAAATCATGTCTAAAGACCGTGTTGCACCCACTCCTCTAAAAGCTGGAGGACCCCAGCTTCTAGCTCCCAAGGAGGAGTACCAGTGAGGACGCACGCCGCAGCGTGCCCTACCGTGCGGTAGGTCCTTGCGACCCTCTGCGCTATGGCCCGCTGGGGTCTGCGCAGAAGGGCAGCATTCTCCCTCTTGTTGAGTGCGTCCGCCCAGACTGGGGCGCCATACAGCGCCATGCTCCTCAGAACGCCGGCATAAAGTCGACGACACCTCGTTTGTGGCCCTCCCAAATTCGGGAGGAGCCAACTCAGTACGCTGGCTGCCTTGAGGAGGCGTGGCGCTAGCCCGTTGAAGTGCGGGCTAAAATGCCACCTCCCGTCAAGCGTGAGGCCCAGATATTTCATTTGGCCTTTGACGTCAATCCTAACGTCCTCAACGCGTCGGGAGGGTCGCGCTGGCCCCGGAAAGAAAAGGGCCTCAGTCTACTCCAGCGCGACTTTCAGGCCGAGGCGTCGTATTCTGTGAGCGACTAATGTGCCGCCCGCCGACGCCAGCTGAGCCGCGGCCCCAAATGTCTTCTTCGGGCAGTGACCAGAGTGTCATCCGCATAGCATGTGACACTCATGCCCGCGAGAAGGACGCCCCGGAGGAGCCAGTTGAAGCCTAGGTTCCACAAGAGTGGACCGAGCACCGAACCTTGCGGAACCCCGCTGGCTACGCCGTGCCGTTTGAGCTGGCCGTCTTTGTTAACATACAGGACTTCGCGGTCCCGCAAGTAATCGGCCAGCAGCGCTCAAAGGTACTGAGGCACTCTGTGATGTTGAAGCGCCTAGAGTATGGTGGGATGAGGGATGGTATTGAAAGCGTTGGCTATATCGAATGATACAGCCAACACACCCTCAGACCTCTCCCTAGCCTCCACAGTGAAGCTTTTTAGCCTCTGAAGGGCGTCGACCGTCGACCTGTCATGTAAACCAAAGCAGTAATGCCAACGTCACGAAAATTAATTAGGTTTCACAATATCGAAATATGACGATTGAATGTGTAAACCAAAATAAGGCGAAGTTTTGAGGTGGTTTGAGTTTTGTTGCATAAAAATAATCTTAAAATTTTTTTTTTTCATTTTTTTATCGGGAGTGCTGGGCCCCTGGTCATAGTGGGCCCCTGGCCATAGTGGGCCCCTAGGCACTGGCCTAAAGTGCCTTATGGATAATACGGCACTGGCCGCGTCTTCAAGAAGGTAGGACGCAACGCCATATGGGTTAGAATGGTACTTCATTGCGCTATACCGCGCGCTACACGGGTCACACTTGGCTACACTGTGCGCTTCGCCGCCCGGCACTCGCTCGGCACGCGCACCGTGCTCAGCGAAGCCCAACGGCCGCGTCTTCAAGAAGGTAGGACGCAGCGCTACAGGGGCTAGAAGAACTGGCACTTCACGCGCTACACCGCGTTACAGGGATTAGAGTTCGCTATGCTACCCGGCATCGTGCTCAACGAGGAGGACGAGCCTGATGATGATTTAAGCCTGTTTGAATTTCACTCTAAACATTATCCTATCCTTTATTATTTATTCGAAATATTTAATTAACTAGATTAATAATGTATTAAAAATAATAAAAATTTAATGAGGATCATTTTGGTTTCGCATTAACAGACCGATAAAGGTGCGCAAGAAATCATGATTAAAGTTATGAAAAAATCCATCGATATACATTAATTAATATTCCCAACTAAAGTTACGTTGAGTTCACTGATACAGATTAAGATACGGACGTTGTTGGTGTAACAGAAATATTATTTATAAAATAAGGCCACGACAAACGTTTTAACCGAGTGTATAATCATCATCCCCAGTTCAACATGGGCGACTACATCTGGCGGACGTACACGGACGTGGAGCGCGAGGCGCGGCACTTCGGCGCGGGGCTGCGCGAGCTGGGCTGCCGGCCGCGCCAGAACCTCGTCATGTTCGCCGAGACGCGCGCCGAGTGGATGGTCGCGGCGCACGGCTGCTTCAAGCAGAGCATCCCGGGTGAGTGCGCGCGAGATCAGGCTACGTCTGGCGGACGTAGAATGGGAGAAGTAAATATATATCGCCTCATTCGCCGAGAGTGTAAAACTGACAGTAGTCGACAATAGTAAATTAATGACCACTGTTCACGTCTGGTAGACGTACATAAATGTAAAGTGATTGCGGCGAAAGCTTAACGTAGAATAAAAGAAGTAATAGATATCGCACATCCGCCGAGAGTCCAAAACTGACAGCAGTCAGTAAATTAGTGACTACTGTATACGTATGACAGGCGTACATAAATGTGACTAAGTGACTGCGGCGAAAGCTTGAGAGCTTGCTATGGGTTATTGAAATTCATTCTTAAGCTATTGCCAGTTACTAGAGATGGGTTATACTAGGTAAATTTGATACTAGGTGCACCTATTCCAAGTATTTATTAATACTTGATCCAAATACCTATTCCACCTAGTACGTAGTAATTTACCATACTTGACGCGACTAGTGCGGACTAATCCACGTATTATGACTTTAAAATACAATTTTCTTTGAAAAAATACCACATTTTTCTTTAATCGGTTTCGTATCTTCTCTTTTTTTAATAAATTTTTTTCTTGTAACCAAATGTTCCAATCTGCCCAGTGCATTAAACAAGTGTTTTGTGTGTTCAATTTCTTCTTTGTTAATTCTATCTGTGATAAAATCTGGTAAGCCGGCAGCAATTATATCGATAAGGGTCCCTTCATCTATTGTCTTTCTTACCTCTAGTAAAAGTTTCTCTTTTTTTACTGCATATTCTAATAAAGATCCTGATTGATACTTGAAAGATAAAGCATACTTGCTAGTAGTCCAACCTTTGCTGGCGTAGGTTTGCAAAAAACTCGATTTCCATTCTGACCATTCGGACTGTAAACCAAGCTTGATCATCATAGAAGAATACCAATCATTGCATGATTTCTCAAGAAATAATCTGAAGATTTCAATTTTTTCTTCATCTTGTGTAATATTGAATCTTTCACATTCTTTTTCAAATACGGACATCCACTGATATGCACTTGAGTTTTTCCCGTCAAACTTTTCTATTACAAACCTGTCTGCTAACTTTTTTATACTTTGCTTTTCTCTGTTTTGTTGACCTTCCACTAATTTTTCCAGAATTTTCACAATAGGATCTTCTGAACACTTTTTACTAGCAATAGCCAATTGTTCTTGGGTAGTTTCCTCTAGAAGCTGGTCTTGAAAAATCATGTTATCATCCTCATCCATGTAGGTTTGTAATATACCCTCTGTCATTTTTATCCAAACACCTCTGGATTGATATCTTTTTTTCAACGTATTTTTCACTGTAGTGAAGGTTTTCGAAGTTTGGATGTGTTTGTGTAGTGATACTGCTTGATACTCTTCAGGAATAAGGAAGACTTTGTCATCTTGTGTCGTAATTGAGGTTACAGCAATATAGTTGGATTTTCCGTCTGTTGATGGTTTCACTTCGAATGTAAATTTCAACTTTTCCATATTTTTGACAATAAATGTCGTTTTATAAGATGATTTCCAATATACTTTGTGATTTGGACGACACAGTCAAAATAACACAATTGAGTTTCTCTGTAAGAAAGAAAAAGATACAACCGTAGTATTAATAATGCAATTTGAAATTGAATAATAATGTTTTTGCTGGCTGTTGATTTATTGATATCCTCCCTTCATACTTCAACAGGCTATTCCTATCTCACACCTGCCTGCGCTCAAATTTGTTTGTCAGACAGAGACGGAGTGAATCTCTACGTTCGCACATAAGCTTAGTGAGAAATACGCGGTGCGCGTAATACACGACTACGGATTATGCAATAATAACCTCTATTTCTTTGATGGTAGGGTCGGAAATCGTGTAATTTAAAAAATACTAGGTGGACGACTACGGATTATGCAATAATAACCTCTATTACTTTGATGGTAGGGTCGGAAATCGTGTAACTTAAAAAATACTAGGCGGATCAAGTATTTTAAAAATTGGAATAGGTGCCACTTAGTACTGTAAAATACCTAGTGTGTGGATCTGTTCTAGTAAATACATCTCATCTCTACCAGTTACTACAGATATTGTGTTGCACTTCAAGCTGAGTCTTCTCATGGCTAAAGTGTTTTAAATAGTGTGGATAATTATCCAAAAAAACAAAAAAAAAAAACATCCATGCTGGTCGCAATGATATTAGGATTTAATTGATTTAAGTAGCTAGCTAATAAGTTAAACATTTCATAAAGAGTACATACCATAACCTAAAAGACTATAAATTTCATCAATAGTTTTCAAGGCGAGAGTGAATAGGCACTTACAGGGCAGATATGTACCATCCTAGACTGCATCTCACTTAACACCAGGTGCGATTGCGGTCAAATACCTGCCTTGTCTTGCATAAAAAAAATCCATTATTGGGATGTAAGTAAGCCCTTTTCTCGCACTTATACTCATCCTAAATATTCATGCTAATGAAACAAAACAAATTCCAGTGGTGACGATATACGCAACGCTTGGCGACGAGGCGATCGCGCACGGCATCAACGAGACAGAGGTGTCGACGGTGATCACGACGCACGAGCTGCTGCCCAAGTTCCGCAAGATCCTGGCCAAGACGCCGCGGGTCGACACCATCGTGTTCATGGAGGACCAGCTGCAGAAGACCGACCGCGACGGGTTCAAGCCCGGCATACGCATCGTGGCCTACAAGGAGGTCGTCGAGATGGGCGCTAATTCCAAAATCGGTGAGTTCGGACTGCTTGTTGCATTTGAAAGTGGGGTAACGTAATGTAAAGTACAGCACAATGCAGTCATGTAACTTAGAATGTTTGTAAAAATATTTAAAAAATAAATTTACTTCTGTGTGCAGCCGCCAATTTTGGAAAAGAGGCCCATAATATTGACTTAAGTTTTTTTGCGATGCGCCAGTTTTCTAATTTATTGTTTAAATGTTAGGACGTGTAAGGCCCAGTTTCCACCAACGCGGAGCAGAGAGACATGTCGAACTAATTTTTCTATAGAAATTGGGGAAGAGACGTAAAGCCCGGTCTGTGAGCACGTAGAATTTTGTTCAATGACCCCAAGCTTATCGCTCGCGCGTAATTATGTTGCTATCGCGCTCGCACACTCACTGCGGGCGCCCGTCGCACAGTCGCGACAGCAATATAATTAAGGATGGGTAGCATTGGGGTCATTGGACAAAATTCTACGTGCTCACAGACCAGACTATAGAGATAATGAAATCTGATTGGTTATTCAACTTCTTCGCTTCGTTCCGCCTTGGTGGACAGGGCCTAAGTGTTTTGTAAAAGAATGAGTTCTGATATTTACTTCATGTGCATTACAGAGACGGTGCCTCCCTCGCCGTCGGATACGGCCATCGTGATGTATACGTCAGGCTCCACAGGCGTGCCCAAGGGCGTGGTGCTGTCCCACCGCAACATGATTGCCACGCTCAAGTCCTTCGCCGACGCCGTGCCCATCAGAGAAGACGACATCCTGATGGGCTTCCTGCCTCTTGCCCACGTCTTTGAATTATTGGCTGAGAGCATCTGCATCATTGCTGGTGAGTTCAGATCATCCACTTGCCATAGCAACGACGTAAACGCAACATAATCGTCATGCTGAAGTCCTTCGCTGCTGCCGTGCCCATCAGAGAAGACGATATCCTGATGGGCTTCCTGCCACTTGCCCACGTCTTTGAACTCCTGGCTGAGAGCATCTGCATCATTGCTGGTGAGTTCAGATCATCCACTAGCTCGCTAAAGCAACTTGGCGTAACTTGATCGCCACGCTCAAATCCTTCGCCGACGCCGTGCCCATCAGAGAAGACGACATCCTGATGGGCTTCCTGCCACTTGCCCACGTCTGAGCTATTGGCTGAGAGCATCTGCATCATTGCCGGTGAGTTCAGAGCATCCACTAGCTTGCTAAAGCAACTTGACGTAACTTGATCGCCAAGCTGAAGTCCTTCGCTGACGCCGTCTCTATCAGAGTAGACAAAAACTTGATTGGATTCCTGCCACTTGGCGCTCATCTTTGAAATACTGGCTGAGAGCATCTGCATCATTGCTGGTGAGTTCAGAGCATCCACTAGCTCGCTAAAGCAACTTGACGTAACTTGATCGCCACGCTGAAATCTTTCGCTGATGCCGTCCCCATCAGAGAAGACGACATCCTGATGTGCTTCCTGCCACTTGCCCACGTCTTTGAGCTATTGGCCGAGAGCATCTGCATCATTGCTGGTGAGCCTTTAAACTCCAGAACTGTTTTTCACCTTGTTTTGTCAAGGGTGCCGTCTCAGAAGTCTTGCTTGACTGAACGGTAATAAAAATCAGAAAGATTCAATACCGTTATCACTCGGCTGGGTCGCTAAGCTAGAGCACAACACTTATGACGTTTGGTTCTGCCGCTATTGGGACCCGTTTCCAAGTGCCACACCGCCATTCTAAATTATAACCTAACCAAGTATTTACACATATCTTATCTCCGCAGGCGTCCCTATCGGCTACTCGACGGCGCTGACGATGCTGGACTCGTCCAACAAGATCATGAAGGGCACGAAGGGCGACGCCACCACGCTGCAGCCGACCTGCCTCACCACCGTACCGGTCAGTACAATAGACAGTTTGACACCATACCCCAATAATTCGAAACCACAACTGTTTTAAAAAGACTCTTCATACTGGTCTTAAAAACCTAATTTATTTTAAATTACCTGTAAATTTCGATTTTTGTTTGAATTGTAATTAAAAAAGTAGTTTAATTGGGTTGACAAAATAATGACGTCACTTGCTTGTAGTGCCATACAAAATCTATGGGAGAGTTTCGTTTTGACAGTTTAAAAAGTACGTCAATTGACTGTGGTATCAACATGTCTATTTCATTGATAACCATCACTGGTGTTTGCTTTTGTTTACGGAATTGCGCTAACTAAAGGTTCGTCCAAACCAACGCGTGCAGCCTGCGTGCGCGATGGCGATGGCGATTCTACTGACAGACTGCTCGCTGACCGTCGGCGCTGACAGATTCATCATCAATATCTATGTAATCGATGGAAACGTTACTGAGTGTCGCTCATCGCTCGGCGACGACGCTTCTTATGGTGCGTCCACACTGGGCGAACGGGCTTGGGCGGCACGCTGGTCATCCTGCTCACCTTGCTCTTGAGTGAGCAGGATGTCGAGTATGCCGCGCGAGCCCGTTCGCCCAGTGTGGACGCACCATTATATTTCGGTGCCGACGGTCAGCGTGGGTCATCGTGCGTCAGCGTGATTCTAACCAGTCGTAGACTAAAAGTCCTGTCATTCGCTAGTGGCTTAAAAAGTGGCGCCAACTGGCGAACGTTGTTGCGGTGGGAACAACGTTCGCCACACACAAACATTCACTAACATGGCGCCACTCTAGAATCATTACAACCTCATCACATGAATAACGTTCGTGTGTTGCAGCTGATCCTGGACCGCGTGAGCAAGGGCATCACGGACAAGGTGTCGAAGAGCGGCGAGTTCGCGGGCGCCTTCTTCCGCTGGGCCTACTCCTACAAGCAGGCCTGGATGCGCCGCGGCTACGACACGCCCATCCTCAACCAGCTGGTGAGCTCATAATATGTTTGTATACTCTGGTCCGGGAGCACGTAGAATTTTGCGACTGTGGAACTGGCGCCCGCAGTGAGTGTGCGAGCGCGACAGCAACATAATTATGCGCGAGCGATTAGGATGGGTAGCTTGGGGTCATTGGACAAAATTCTACGCGCTCCCGGACCAGAGTTTAGTCGGGTGGTGGATATGTACTTGACACCGTTTAGCAGTAATTATTCCAAGACGCTACTTCTCCAAAAGAACAATTACTCATTCTGGGAGGAAAAAATGGACCTAGTTTTTAATTGCCGCATCCGTATTAATATATACAATATTTTTAGTGGAACTACATAGCATCGTCTTTTATCGTGTGTTCCGTTCGGCTCCTTGAAAAGGGCTCTTTGAAATTACACACCAACAACACTGCAATTTGAACCTTATCCCTTTACACAAAGGTCATTAATCAAAAATCAGTCAACATTTAGGCCCAGAACAGACGGTGAAACGCAACTGCAACGAAACTGCAACTTTCTGATGATTCTGATGAATGAAACTGAAACTGAAAGTTTCAAACCGGTCGCATAATGTGTGGTCTCTCAACGGACGCTATGGCAGAAACTTAGATGCAACTCAAAAGTAACTAGCAGTTGCAGTTGCGTTTTACCGTCTGTTCTGGGCCTTACAGTTACATTAGTAACGTGATTGGTGTCGTTCAGATGTTCAGCAAGGTGCGCGGGCTGCAGGGCGGGCGGCTGCGGCTTTAGGCTAAGAACTGACGGCGCGATTTTCACCCGCGCCCGCGGCGGTTGTGTTTTATTTCAAAACTCACAGGAGCGGCTATTTGCGCAGTTATTCTAAGAACTCACGGCGCGATTTTCACTCACGCCCGCGTGAAAATCGTGCCGTGCGCTAAGTCACTGGTACAAAATGGTCGCCCACATCGGGCTGTTTTGGCTGCGGTTACCGCGGTCCGCGCGATTCTACTAGTTGCCCGCCGGTGCCGCGGGACCCGCATAAAACCGCGCCCGCTGCGGGCGAAAACCGCGTCGTGAGTTGTGCATAAGTTTTTACATATTATGTTGTTCAAACAGTTCACATGTTCAAACAGAGGGATAATAAATGTGTGTATTCCCAGATGTTCAGCAAGGTACGCGGCTTGCTGGGCGGGCGGCTGCGGCTGCTGCTGTCGGGCGGCGCGCCGCTGTCGCCCGACACGCACGCGCAGCTGCGCATCTGCCTGTGCTGCGACGTCGTCACCGGCTACGGGCTCACCGAGACCACCTCCTGCGCCACCGTCATGGACTTCGCCGACAGGTACGGGACTGTTCCCACATCTGCCTGTGCTGCGACGTCGTCACCGGCTACGGGCTCACCGAGACCACCTCCTGCGCCACCGTCATGGACTTCGCCGACAGGTACGGGACTGTTCCCACATCTGCCTGTGCTGCGACGTCGTCACCGGCTACGGGCTCACCGAGACCACCTCCTGCGCCACCGTCATGGACTTCGCCGACAGGTAGCCATGACCATGACCGGGACCCGTGTCTACTATAGTCTGGTCGCCGAGCACGTAGAATTTTGTCCAATGACCCCAAGCTACCCATCCTTATCGCTCGCACGTAATAATATTGCTGTCGCGACTGTACGACGGGCGCCCGCAGTGAGTGTGCGAGCGCGACAGCAACACAATTACGCGCGAGCGTTAAGGATGGGTAGCTTGAGGTCACTGTACGAAATTCTATCTGCTCGACGACCGGACTTTAGCCGCGAAATAATGTCTAGGCCGTAAACCATGGACAATAACTCAAAATTTCGTCCCAAAGACTGAAGGAAACCCTCAGATTTTAGTGGATGAGCCTACCCACTGCACTATGCCCACCACTGGCGTATGTAAACGAAACGGTGCTCGACTCTGATACAAGTTAAATTACACCATATTGTTGACGACATTGAGTTTTATAAATACCGTCGCGAAGAAAACTTTTTGTACTATCGGCAACAGTGTTAACTGCCCATTGCCAGTGATGTCATCTCGTTCTATCGCAAAGAATCACCATTTGATGAGAGCCAGAGCAAAAACGGAAATGGATAGTTAACAGTGTGGCCGTGTGTACATAGTACATATTATTATTCTGTGGTGTTAATAACATTTCGTTCTGTGCAGGTCGACGGGCCGCGTGGGCGCGCCCACCACGGGCACAGACATCAAGCTCGTTAATTGGGAGGAGGGCAACTACCGCGTCACCAACAAGCCCTTCCCGCAGGTAACTATACCACATGTCATCGTTCGTTCGTTCGTTTCAGCCAAATGACGTCCACTGCTGGACAAAGNGAACAAAGGCCTCCTCCAAGGTTTTCCACAATGCACGGTCCTGCGCTGCCCGCATCCAGGCTCTTCCCGCGACCTTTACGAGATCGTCGCTCCACCTAGTAGGAGGCCTGCCCACGCTACGTCTTCCAGCCCGTGGTCGCCACTCGAGAATTTTTCTGCCCCAACGGCCATCGTCTCTACGAGCTATGTGCCCCGCCCACTGACACTTGGTTTTAGCAATTCTGCGAAACCACAATGGCATACGAATATCTAATGAGTGAACAAACGGACTCATTCAACTCCCATTCAGCCACGCCATGTTGCATGTGGAATGAGTGAAGGAACGAGTTAAGGGACGAACTCATCCTACTTCCTTTCAGCCATGTCATATTCCATGTTGAATGAGTGAACGACCTCATTCAATCATTCAGTCCATTCGTTTTTAAATTATGGTAGTTCGTTTCACTAGTTGTAATAGCCTGAAATGAATTTTCAGTTACAGTATTTTCTTATTAACATTTTACTAAAATCCGGTCGCCGAGCACGTAGAATTTCGTCTAATGACCCCAAGTTACCCATTCTCATCGCACGCGCGTAATTACAGCCTTGGCCAAAAGTATTGAGCACCCATGTTATTTATTAATTTTGAAGGAATTATACATGTGTCTGAATCAAAACAGTTTTTAACAGTTTTATATTGTTTATTTACAACAAAAAAATAATACTTTGTTGGACCACCCTTCGCCTTAATTACTGCAGAAATTCTTTTTGGTAAAGATTGTACTAATTTATTACAATCGTCACATGTTAAAGCGTTCCACTCTTCTCGCAAGCGATGTTTTAGGTCTTCTTTTGTTATTATTGAATGGCGCCGGACCTTGCGCTTCAATAGACCACACAAATGCTCGATGAGGTTCAGGTCTGGTGACTGGGCAGGCCATTCAAGCAGCTCGATGTTATTGTCACTAAACCAAGCCATCTTTCGGTCAGCTTTGTGACAAGGTGCGTTATCCTGCTGGAATTTGACGCTCTTCATGTTGATGTCACCAAAAAGTGTTGTAAACGAGGGCAGAAGTGCGGATTCAAGAGCGTTTATGTACTTTGTAGAGTCCATGCGTCCTTCACACACAAACATTTCCCCAACTCCTGCGGCGCTCATGCACCCCCAGACCATCACACTGCCGCCGCCGCGTTTGACGGTAGGTACCACACACTCCGGGGTAAATTCTTCGTCTACTCGACGACGGACAAATGTCACACCAGGTGTGCCAACAATCTGTAAAGTAACGAAATTTTGTTAAGTGTTTTTCGGTCCAATATTTATTTTTACAAATATAGTTTTATAATATTATTGTCGCGTATTGTTATTACATGATATTGGCTAACTTACCTCAAAGTTTGATTCATCTGACCACACAATGTTTTTCAAATCTTCCTCAGTGAAAGTTTGGTATTTTAAAGCCTACTCGTAACGAGCTGTTTTGGTCTTTTCTGAGAGCCATGGCTTCTTTCTGGCTGTATAGCCCTTAAGCCCAGCTTCTTGGAGTCTTCTGCGAGTTGTTCTTGCAGAAATTGGCGTATTAATTTCAGCTGATAACTCAGCAGCGAGGTCGGAAGAAGTTTTTTTATGATTTTTCAAAGACTAACAATACTACAGTATCATAGCTAAACATCTCGAAACGTGTTTTATTGCACGTTGTGCCGTGAGTTTATGTTTCAAAACCTGTCAAGGAAAGGTTTTTATCAAATATCTTTGAGTATCTTTTATAGTTATCATGTATAAGCAGTATTTAGGGGGTGCTCAATACTTTTGGCCAAGGCTGTATAATGCTGTCACGCTCGTACACTCACTGCGGCCGCCCGTCGCACAGTCGGGACAGCAATATAATTGCGTGCGAGTGTTAAGGATGGGTAGCTTGAGGTCATTGGACGAAATTCTACGTGCTCACAGACCGGGCTTTAGTTCGTTTCACTAGTTGTAAATATCCTTAAAAATTCAGTAACAGTATTTTCTTATGAAATCTGTATAGGCTTACATTTTACGAGGACTAGTAGCGATATAATTTACAGTTCATGACCATTCGCCATTATAATTTAAGTTGCGTATACAAACACTGAAGCCATGTATTCATTAGGCAACATTTGTTGATAAACACTGTTTATAAACTGTTAATAAACAATGTTTCATCATCTTTGTAAACAGTTTATAAACAGTCCATAAACATAGGTTATGAAACATTGTTATACATTTTGCCGTGCTCCCCGCTTTGAGTGGAGAGCAAGTGTGGACGGCCAAGTTTCTCCATGTTTCACACTAAAGCCTGGTCCGTGAGCACGTAGTAATATAATTTTGTTGCTGTCGCGCTCGCACACTCACTGCGGGCGCGCGTCGCACAGTCGCGACAGCAATATAATTACGCGCGAGCGACAAGGATGGGTAGCTTGGGGTCATTGGACGAAATTCTACGTGCTTGGCGACCGGACTAGTCGCAGCGATATAATTTACACTTCATGACCATTCGCCATTATGATTTAAGCTGCTTATACTGTTTTTGCACGTGGACTAACCATGCTTATGGTCGCAGGGTGAGATCGTGATCGGCGGCGAGTCGGTGGCGGAGGGCTACTACAAGAACCCCGAGAAGACGAAGGAGGAGTTCGTGGAGGCCGACGGCATGCGCTGGTTCAAGTCCGGCGACATCGGCGAGCTGCACCACGACGGATGCATCAAGATCATCGGTCTGTCACATCTTTATGAAATACTAGCTTTCGGTCCGCGGCTTCGCCCGCGTGGAATTTTGTCTGTCACAGAAAAACTATCGCGCGTGTCCCTATTTCAAAAACCGGGATAAAAACTATCCTATGTCCTTTCCCGGGACTCAAAATCGGTTCAGTGGTTTAGGCGTGAAAGCGTGACAGACAGACAGTTACTTTCACATTTATAATATTAGTATAGATTCCATTGATTGAGTTTCCACATTTTATTGATTTTGACTCTTATTTCAAAGGCTGTAAGATAGTGATTTATTGTGACTGAAAAGTTTTGGTGAAATTGTGCATTCAACAACACTTACTATTCAATGTATTAGGTAACTGAGAGAGGACCAAACTTTTTGGAAGACTATTCGCTTTGTTATCTCATAAATGCATTATAACAAATGTGAATGTCAGTGGCGTAGCGTGCCTTAGCCCCTCCTATATCAAAATGTGTTTGGGGGGCTATTAAAAAAGCATTGCAAAATTAAAGAACTTCCCTCTGCAGATGCCTACTCTGTCTAGCCGAAAAAGTTTGGCACACCCCTGTTTTCCTGGAGTCCCGTATTATTGATATGATGGTAGCTATGTCCCTATGAGCAAATTGAGTAGTTGATCTAATCATTGGTGTTGCATTCGCCACGTAGATAAAGTCCATCAAGCAAAAGAAATAACAAAATTATCGTTATTTGTATATACTAATTTGTACTTACAAATCGTCAAATTAATGCTCTTAAGTTCTCATTCTTTTTTTGCCTTACCAGCACTTTGAGACAAATATTTGGCAAGTGCTGAGAAGAAGCGCCGCAACAAACTCAGTCACCACTGTCTGCCGGTTTAAAAATATAAAAAAGTAGTAACTAGGAAGTTACAATACATTCAGAAGCAAGTTACTTACCACGCGTTCCCGTTGATAGAAGGTGGCCTTAAGACTCATCAATCGGGCGCGCAAGCTCACGCCAGACGTTTGTAGTGGGCAATTTTTAGTGTATGGCTGTATCGTAAACGTGCGTGTGTCCCCGCAGACCGCAAGAAGGACCTGGTGAAGCTGCAGGCGGGCGAGTACGTGTCGCTGGGCAAGGTGGAGGCCGAGCTCAAGACGTGCGCGCTGGTCGAGAACATCTGCGTCTACGGAGACTCCACCAAGACCTACACCGTCGCGCTCGTCGTGCCGCACCCGCAGCGCTTGCAGGTAACAACCCACAATAATAAAGGACCTAGTCAAAACGCACTTTAAAATCGCAAACCCATCGCAAACCAGTCGCAAACAAATAAACAAATCGCAAAAGAGGTCGATTACATAAAAGGCTTAGTCAAACGGCAAAAAATAGAATCGCAAAGCCCTACCTATCGATAATATAATCGAAAGACTGGATTGAAATTTCCCATACAAAGGCTTAGCCAACATGCATTTAAGACTCAATCAAAATCGAATCGAATCGCAAAAGCCGCCATTTTCATTGCGATTTCTAAAACCCCGGTGATAAGCTTCGATTCGATCGAAAAACAATAGGGTGAGTTGCACCACCTAACTTTGACCGTAACTATGACGTTAACCGGTGTTTTATGTATGGAGTTTGACAGATTTTAGACGTTTGTCAAAGTTAAACTAAGATGGTGCAACCCACCCTAAGGCTGTTTTGACAAATCCGTATCGCGATGTCGTTATGACAGTTAGTTTGACAGCGAAGCATAGACGTAAACAGAGAGCAGAAAGAAGGAAGAAACTAATTTAAAAAAAAGCCAAAAAAAGTAAAAAGAATCGCAAAGTCATAGACATTTTTTAACTTTTATTCGATTTTGAATGAACTTTTATATCGCCGCGTCGTTGGTGGTTCAATGTGCATTTTGGCTGCCATTTTCCGATCGAATCGAATTACTGGTGACGCGGCGACTGACATTAGTGAAAACTTTCTATTGGTTTGCGATGGCATTTTGACTAGACCCACTGGTGTTGTGCCCTGAGTGCCCAGGCAACTGCACTCAGGAGGATTTGATGAATGATGCTGACAACGCCACTCTTGTGGCGGAATTTTGAGCTGACACTGTGTAGGTTTGTTGTCGACACAAAAAGAAGAAGAAGAATAAAGGACCATTACGATCCATACAGAGTTGTGTTCATCATCATCATCATCTCAGCCGTAGGACGTCCACTGCTGAACATAGGCCTCCCCCAATGCTTTCCATGTTGCCCGGTTGGTAGCGGCCTGCGTCCAGCGCCTTCCTGCTACCTTTATGATGTCGTCGGTCCACCTTGTGGGTGGACGTCCCATAAGTTTTCCGGTACGCGGCCTCCACTCCAGAACCTTGCTGCCCCATCAGTCGTTGATCCGTTTCCCGGCTTTTAAGCTTAAGGAGAAGCCACACGGTACGGTGCGGTCGCGTCGCATCGCCGGAGCGGTGCCGCTCCACACACTGTACAGCAATGGGGAAAAATGTTTGCGGTGCGGCGCCGCTTCACACCGTGTGGCATCTCCCTAACCTTTATCGCTATCGTGGGTGGCTAAACGTAATTCACAAGAACCATAGAGAAAATAAATGTGCATATCATAGAAAATAATGTGGTTTTGATTTCGCAGGAGCTGGCGGCGCGCGAGGGGCTGCCGCCGATGGAGTTCGAGCAGCTGTGCCGCGCGCCCGCCGTGGAAAAGGCCGCGCTGCGCGAACTCGCCGACCACGCGCTCAAGTGTGAGTGCACCCTTAGCTTTTATTTCGGATGGTGTAAAACCCGGTCCGTGAGCACGTAGAATTTTGTCCAATGACCCCAAGCTACCCATCCTTATCGCTCGCGCGTAATTATATTGCTGTCGCGACTGTGCGACTGGTACCCGCAGTGAGTGTGCGAGCGCGACAGCAACATAATTACGCGCGAGCGATAAGGATGGGTAGCTAGGGGTCATTGGACAAAATTCTACGTGCTCACGGACCAGACTATAGATAGTGTCCACGAGGATGCGCCCCACGAATTTTTGGTCGAGGGAAGTGCGGGGTGCGGGGAGTTTAACATTATCTAATAGCCATGGACGGCTTTTCTAGTAAAATAGAAAAAAGCAAGAGGGCTCTCGACCACAACGAAGCAACACTCGACCTAGCCCGATGTGCATCACCATACCTATTTATTTGTATAGACTACTGGTAGTCGTGGATGACTTTCCAGCTTCAAGGTTAACCTCAAAATTTAAGCTACACCCACCCCACTCCACACCGGTTGACATTCCCATTGGCATTCCCAATATGCAGTTTCGAAACATTAACAATGTACCTTACTTTGTTTTTAAATACATAGATTGTAACGAATATAAATCCGCAGGCGGTCTGGAGCGCTTCGAGGTGCCGCTGGCCGTGAAGCTGGTGACGGAGGTGTGGTCGCCCGACATGGGGCTGGTCACGGCCGCCTTCAAGATCAAGCGCAAGGACATACAGGAGCGCTACAAGGACGACATCAAGCGCATGTATGCGTCCTGAGCGCAACACCTTCTGTTTACCGCCGCCCGCCCCGCGGACTGAGATTAAAGTAGTGCAGGGATGGCGAACCAATGGCACGCGCCACAATATTTAGGGCACGCCCACCTATCACAAAATCTACTATATAAAAATAAGTCGGGTTTTCCTCCCTGACGCTATAACTCCAGAACGCACGAACCGATTTCCACGGTTTTGCACTCGTTGGAAAGGTCTCGGTCTCCGTGAAGTTTATAGCAAAGAAAATTCAGGAAAAATTTCAACAGAAAAGCGGTAAGAGGGTAAAACGGGATCCACGCGTACGAAGTCGCGGGCGACCGCTAGTTCACTATAAAATAATGTGTTTTATACATATAAGGGCTATCGTATTTGCCCTCATCAGTTAGTGCCACTGTTGAGTAAAGTCATGTCACTCGCCAGTGGCACCACTTGTACTATACCCCTCATTGATAGCATTAGGTGATATTTGATGGCACGTCTAAGACTTTATCAAGCATTTTTTTCGGAAGTGGCACGTTGATACATAAAGGTTCGCCATCCCTGAAGTAGTGTAACGTTCGTGTGGATCCAATATCCCGGCGCTAGGTGTGAAGATATTATTATTCTCCTGTTGTTATTTTACTGAATTCGGCGGCCTGGACCGCGCGGTGCCGCGTGGGCTCTGGGCTCTCGAGCTATAGAATGGATGGACTGACTGGAAATTTGCCTAGCCTTTGAGCGTTTGTTTATAAATAGATAAGTACGTCGATAAGGATTCAGCTAATAATTAAGATTCGTCAACCCGATCTTGTACTTATTTATGTAAACGAATGCTCAACTGAAATGTGTGCGCCATTTTTGAGAATGTTTTAAACAGAATTCTGAAAATTACATTGGTTTAAATTAGATGATGTAAGTTTTGTGGGGCGGGTCGCTTACGCCCGGGCCGCGGCCGGGCTTGTAGATGTAAATGTAAATTATGTATTTATTGTTCGCGAGAGTAGCCGCAACGAGTCGCATCACACGCCGACGGCGAGTTACGTTTCTGTATTTAGTTTCGCTAAGACTTGTACATATTTGTTTCGTTCTAAATACTGTAGTTGCTACTTTTGGGATGCGAAATTGCGCGAGTGCGGATGGATGGTGTTTTATTATTAACTATAGTTGAATTTTGTCTCGAATCAGTAGTTTTCGTATTTAAAAGACAAACTGTCAAAACTACTGAGTCGAACTATAAATCCGAGATTAGATCTGATCGAGTGGGCACATTCGTGCGAGTGGATGCGTGCGTGTGTACATTGGGGACATGAAAATTTTGTAGATATTGGCCTAGCGTCTCTAGTGTACGATAGTGGTCGTATGAAGCTCTTAAACTAATCGATTAGTACTTAGAGGTATGGGGTTACGTTTACCAAGTAATGTAATATTTGCAATAATAAGTTTTCGTTATTTTGATTGTGCGCGGGAGTGCAGCGATGAGCCAAATGGTTAGTAGTTAGTGCGCCGGCCAGCCACGCGGTGCGGTGCACTGCAGTGTAAGCTGGCCGCGCGCTCGGCAGTGTACGGCCAGCGTGCGGAGCACTGCAGTGTAGGCTGGCCGCGCTCGGCAGTGTAGGCCGGCGCCGGCGCGAGCTAGTCAGAATACTTCGAATGTCGTAACATTTCCTTCTCTGACCGCATTTCGCTGAGCATTTACGACCTTTATACACAATCCTTGCATGTATATTTACACATTTAACTTATATTATATGTGATCAGTAGTACTGTTCGTTACCTGATTACGATCATGGATTCCATATAAATAATAAATGTCATAATAATATTGTAACATTGTGTGTTACTGTAATAGGTAGCATCATAATATTTTTCTATAAATATAGGAAGTTTCGAAATTAATTCAAGTTATTAACTGAATGTGAATCATTACTGTTAATAAGTAGGAGTTACTTGCTCAGTTAATGTGACTGTACTTTGTGTTTGAAATTAAATATTGCAACTGAGAAACAATTTTGTATTATTTATTCAATAAATGTTAATAAAATCATTACCTTGGTCGTTTCATTTTTATTTCTCCAAAGTCTTTATTCTTTACTTCCAGTCTAAAAAAATCCCACTTTTTCAATGAAATGTCGAATGATTTGATTTGAATATGGAACGTAATTCGAATTTCGATTTGCGCGCCAATTTGCAGTCGAGGACTCGCGATGCTACCATAGATTTCTATTCCGTTGAAAACCCCACCCAAGCGGTCACGCCGTGGTACCGGGTTTCGCGTCGCATAAAAATTTATAAAAAGTAAGAAACAAGTGGAAGTTTGGAAATTATTAATCCTGACTAGACCCAGTACGTCCTTGGGAAAGTGAAAGTGAAATAGGCCCGCCGCCTGTGTTTTCAATGCTTCGAACGTCTGATATATCAAGTAGAGATGAAACGGATAGTTGTTTGGCCGGATACCGGATACCGGATATCCGGCCAGCTGCTAGGCCGGATAGCCGGATATCCGGCGGCCGGATAGTTGGCCCATTGTCTCGTTTCATGTCGTGACGAGTTTAGCGCCGCACAGGTGCTTCGAACGCGATCAGTGGGTCTATTAGTAGACTAGACTAGTCACACTTTTCGAAAATCGAATCTGTCCGAATAGAATGTCAGATTTTGTCACTTGTCAAGGGGGCAGATCAATTCGAGCGATTTCGGTTGCTATCGTGAGTGTGTAATTAAATTAGTTTACTTGCTGCGTAATCTGACTGAACTGCATGCATCATGTCATCAAACCATCAGTGAAAAAAAGATCGCCTTTTTTATTTAGTAATATTTCGACATTAACAGATATTATTTACTACAGGGTGGCCCAGAAGAAAATTAACTTTTGAAAATTTAATGAAACGAAAACTGTGCATTTTTGTAGAACTTTAACTATTGTAATTTAAAGGAAAGGACAGTGCCAATCCATGTATGGAAGTTGGACCAAGTGCTGCCCAGAATGAAACCATAGTGCATTTTGTTCCTCTGGCCAATACTAATTTGTAAACCGGAGCGCACTGAAATCTATCCCTGGAGTTAAGAGAAAAAATGAGTTTTGTTTTGAATTATTTACATACAAAATATCATCGATGTATACGTACTACGCATAAGATTTCGCGATTGTGACATTAAATCTATCTTTATAGAGAACTAAAACTTCTTGCTTCATTTTAGAAATAATGAATTTCTGTCAACTTACCAAACAATTAAAACAGCGCTATATCGTTTATAAAGAATGTCTAAATCGCACTAAAGTAACGTGTACGGATGGTTGAGTTCAATATAGCGAGTGTTATTTAATGCCACAATCGCGAAATCTTTATGCGTAGTAAGTATACATCGATGATATTTTGTATGTAAATAATTCTTTTTTTCTCTTAACTCCAGGGATAAATTTCAGTGTGCTTTGGTTTACACATTAGTATAGGCCTGAGGAACAAAATGCAATATGGGTTGATTCTGGGCAGCACTTGGTCCAGACCCTGGCACTATCCTTTAGTGCAATTTATTTGAAAATTTACTTCCTTTTATAAATTTTATCGTACATGTGATTCCCTTGACGTTTACAACATTCGGTCAACATACATCAAAATTTTGGAAAACTTTCGTTAGAGTTACCTCGAAATGTATTCAAGATGGATGAATGCTGCAGAGGTTTTGGATTATTAGAGTATACTCTGCTCATAAGGTAACCCCGCAATAAGAAGTCTGCTGGAATGAGATTAGCGCTTCTTAGAGGCAGTGAGATTTCATCTCTGCTTAATTGGTTTGTTGCGTTGAAAGCATGATTAATTTTTGAGAATGCTATACTGGTAGGCTGAAAAGCTTTTTTGATTTTTAAAGCTGCAAGATTCGCAAGGTTATGACCGGAGCACTTGGTTTCACCAAGATGGGGCTACGTGTCACACTTCAAATGAGAGCATTTAGATGGTAAGAGACATGTTCCCACAAAAAAATAATTTCAGGCAGGGGTGACATCTCCTGGCCACCAGGAAGCCCTGATCTCACTCCAGAAAATTCTTTTTTGTGGTGTTACATTATGAATTTTATTATACTTTTATAATCCAACAAACATGCAGCAACTGAAGCTGAGCATTCGGCAAAAAATTGAAAATAGGTTTCGAGGTAATTCTAACGAACGCATTTCAAGATTTTGATGTATGTTGATCGAATGTTGTAAGCGTCAAGGAAATCTCCTGGGCGATGTAGTTTAATAAAGGTAAATTTAAAAATAAATTGCATTAAATTTCCTTCAAATTGCAATAGTTAAAGTTCCATAAAAATTTACAGTTTTGGTTTCTTTCAATTTTCAAAAGTGAATTTTCTTCTGGGCCACCCTGTATTTATGTATTCGTCATTAGAGTGAATAGCCCAGAAAAAGAAATTAGTTTTTTGAAAGGCTTTTTGAAGAGTGACTTTTTTGTAACTTTTTGGACTCTAAATAAAAGCCGTCATTATTAACTATAAGCCATTTTATTGATATTTACCTCAAAGATTAATGTTTTTCATTTTATTAATAGGAAATTGTCGTAGTTTTTTAATATCCGGTATCCGGCCGGATAGTGAGTTACTATCCGGTATCCGGCCGGATAGTAAATTTAGGCCGGATATCCGGCCTACCGGATAGTTGCCGGATATCCGTTTCATCTCTAATATCAAGTAAGTGTCCCTATTATATTTTATAGGTTCAATAGTGTTAACATATTGCGTTTAGAACCTAATTTATTAACTTTTATTCTTCGACTAGTATTTCTAAACCTACGAAATATCTCGTAATGTTTGCAAACATACATGAGTCGAAATGAAGTAAAACAAGGTTGCAAATTAATAAATAAATTATAATGTTAAATATTATACACTGCACTTACAATGGTATCATATTATCATGCTCGTTACATCAGAGAATATACATGAAAACATTCAAACACATGGTTACATTACAATCAAATTAATAAAAATATACTTTGAGCAATATAAAAATAAAAAACCGAATCACTCGCTATAATCTATAAAATTAATTATTAAAACATTGTTACATTTATGTTGACTCCTCGGCTGACGACTGTTTGATTTCAAATTAAATGCTAACCACACTCGTATGTTCGTTTAAGCGTAGGAATGTAAGTCTGCGTTAGTTCCATACATTTGGCAATGTTCATTACTCGTAAAGCTTTCGTACTTGAAGTATTATTTATAAATTAGTGTACTCGCATTCTATACAATACCCTACTATCGGTTCAAGTGACACTCGCACAACGAATCGATTCAAATCATCGTTTTTTAATTTACAAATTCTGAAATAAAGTCTCGCGCACGTTGCAGGCCTTATTTTTTATGTTATAGTGACTTTATGACTTCCAAACTTCTTTTCATCATCATGTTTTTGTTATAACAATGTTTTATGCAAACTAGGTATGTGTACCAATATCAAAACTCACTGGAATATTTGATAGCAACGTGTGCACCAGGCTTTACATCCCACTTAACCATATTTCGACAATAACCCATATGCTCTACCACGTTTGTGCTGCAATGTGATGCGCTCAAATGCTTACTAAATGCTTCCCTCATTCGATCGGAAGACACGAACCCACCCACCGCTTGGTGCTCAACTTGTGTTCAGCACACAAATTAATTAATGTAAATTTTGAGAGAAAAAAACTTCAAGATCGCTCGGTGGCAAGACGCGACTTGAGTTGGTAAATTTCATCTATTTTTTTTTCACTCTATTAAATCTCTATTTTGAGTTTGCCTCGCATTTAAACTCTAATTACAATATTGAGTATAAAACGTATTAAATACATCAAAAAGATCTAGTTACTTACGATCCTTGCGAATTGAGATATGACTATGAATTTACAGTGCATATTTTAATATTTGAGGCATCCAGAGATCCATCTAAATTACTAATTACGATTACATAATAAGTTACGGTTACGAGATCCCAAGATTGTTATTATGATATTTTCGGCTGTAAAATCAAGTCATATTCCCAAATTATCACATTCAATAAATATAACGTGCGACTGCAGTCATACAAGGACAACTTAAAAGGATGTTTTCCTAAAAAAACGACTATAAATAACAATCTCAATAAGACAATTTACAAAAAATGTATGTACGTAAAATACATAATTTAAACTGCAAATTAATTAATTATTGCTCAACCGAAAGTCGTCACAAAAGTCCGTGGAAAACACCCCAATCACAAACAAATTATAATTCACAATGTGTACATACTCTAATCTTATTTCTAGGTTTCGCGTACAAAATCTCTACACTTGGTGCTTTACAAAAATGATCGCTCTATTTGCGTGTAAACTAAACGTTCATAGAAAAATAAATCATTCCATTTATAAGCTATTTAATACTTTTCACATGGAGTGTCGTTATTGCGATAGCGTCGGACAAACGGAGCGGCGGCCGCGGCTCCAGCTACATGCTCGGCCGGCTGCTGCACGGCGACAACAAGGGACGGGTGGCGAGTTATTAGGCATTACAATTATTTATATGTCAAGTGCATTCATTTAACAGTTAATGACTCCCAACTCACGAGGATACGAATTTTCTGTTGCATAGCGAGCGCGCGCCGCAGCCGCCGAGCGGTCAAATGAATCGAGCTGGTGTTTGAGAATTTCTTTTTGTCACCTGCTTACAATTAACCGAACTTGCGAAGTTCATTTCATCGTAATCCCAACCGTGCACCAACTCGATTCAAATTTCCACCTACAGGTTTTGGGTAGCACTACAAGGCATTACAGACGGCTTAGTGAGTATGATTGAAAAGCGTTTGGAATACAAAGTTACGATTAATAATTGCACAGAAATCTGATCGTTATAGACACTAATATGCTTATCATGTAGTATAATAGACAAAAAAAAATATATTTATAAAATCAATAACGTGATTCGCATTTAAATTTATAAATTGCATAAACTAAAAATAAAAAACAACGCAACAGCTGCCGTGGTCATTTTGTCACAACTAAACATCTTACATAATTATTTGAATGTGAGGTCGCGCCCGTTGGCGACTCGGCTGCGAGCCAGCCCGGCGGGACGCGTATGGGATACAGGCTATGGGATACAAAGTGGAACGCTTATGTTAAATGCTTATGGAATAATATATTACCGCGTCCCGCGAGTGCTCGCCAACGCGACCGCGCCGCGCGTGTGATGTCGGCGTATTGACTAGCGGCAGTCATCAGTGGAAGCCAGCCCTTGAGATTCCATGCCCGCACTGAAGTTTAAGTAACATTGCCACTTTACTGCTTCCATCTCAAACCGATTCCAGATTACCATTAATTTGTTAAAAAATACAAATAGTAGTGTAAATCAATTGTTCAATCTTAGGCGCGGGTACTGATTTCATATTAAATTGACCGCTGTTTTGTGATCAGGAAGACTTCCATCGAATAAAAGTGATAAATATTACATTAAATAAATCGGCTACCCGTTGACAATGTGTACTTAAACTTCATGTGCCTCTCCAATAACAATGGGACTCCTAATTCGTTGTAATTAGACTAAGAAGTTAGAGACAGAAGATTAAGACTACGATCTCGCACTAGTCAGACTTTAATATTAGTCGGCACAGCGTCGACGGCGGGCCTCAACGCTACCCTCACCAGGCCGCCGAGGCCCGCCGCCGCCGCGCGCGCCCGCGGTGCGAGACAGGAACACGTTACATCGATTCGTCTACGAACTTCCATTTGGGAATTAGAAATGAAATGTAATCCTGTCACTAATATTTTTAGAGGCCGGTCAAAAGACTGTTTAGTTGATTTTTTAGTAAAATCAGGATTTGGAAAATATGAACGCTAAATATTAACGCCATTATGTCAAAGAGTCTATGTCATTGTGCTGATGATCATTCATCTAGTGCACGCCTTCGTCCCGCTGTGTCCCGCGGGCGCGCGTCCGCAGCGCGATACTACAAAAGTACAAAATCCCCACCCTCGCCCACCATTCCACGACAATGACTTACATTAACTTACGTGGCCAACCATCACAACGTTCCTATATGCATATGTGTAAAGTGTATATATTTTATACATGCGGGGGGAAATACGAAACGTTCCACGAAAACTTTCGTGCTCGAGTTTGTGTCAACAGATTGTAAATGCGCCTTGGCGACGTCAGCTTTATGCAAACGAGATTAAGAGCCACTCGTTCAAGTTGTCAAACGTCTCGAACTTCCCCCCAAATAATCATCGCATAGATTACTCGAAGCATCCTTACTATGGAGTATATGCTACCGCATACAGAGAAACAACCCGCACTCTATAGAGCGCTACGATTGCCATCATACGTGGCGAATATTACCTATAAAACGCCGTTTCCTATAAAAATCATTTAAAAATTACGCTACCTTACTCGGAACTTATCTAAACAATATATGATATAGAAAACGCTCTTATTATTACTAATAGAGATGCGGTAAAGAAGCCAATTTTTGGTTTATTATCGTGATAATTATTATAGGCGTTGTTCCAACGCATTTGCTAACGTGCACCCGTTGCGCCCGCCCTGGGGCCCGGCGACTGAGCGACCAACCTCGCTAAGTTCTCGAGTCAAAATACTTATTGCTAGCAATGTTGCTATAAATTAGGAACTTTATAATTTTACTGCGGCCAGTTATCACAACCCAGAATTAATGATTTCTCATATAGTAAAAATTCAGTGTAAAAAGCCGTGAAAATTGACATAAATTGGGTGTTGTGAAATTTTGCGCGATAAAAAATTGTACAGTAAATTTTGGAATCGAAAAATGTCGCCTAATCATCATCGCAACATTGTTAACAGTTTGACAGAATGAACTTCCGACCCTTATGAACGCTAACTGACTTAGCAAAAGACGATACGTCATAGAATACAACGCACACACGACGGAAAGAAAGTCCCGCTTACAGTCGTCCATACATCTGGATGATATTCGTTTTGTCACAGTAAGATACATAATTTAGATGCCGGTTCCAAAAAAAGTGCGGAGCTCACGAGTGGCCAGTGTCCCGAATCACCCGCTCGAGAGCTACATTCATGATTTCCACCAAACGTTTTCATTCAGGAATCCACATCGACCGCGGGCAGAGGCAACCTCCCGCCGGAGGTGAATTCGAATCGGTGGCAAATTCGGTTATACATCAATGACGGTTTTCGCGATTGAAAAATCCGCCAGATGGCAATACGTAGACGGGAGGTCCAAATGCTGCATGATTGGTGGATTTTGACATATCTGTCAATGTCATGTCAACAATAACATTTGGACTTCCCGTCTACGTATTGCCATCTGGTGGATTTTTCAATCGCGAAAACCCTCATTAAATTTGCGTTGTCGACGCTAATTCACTCGGACGACGCGTCGTGAACCCGACGTACAGTAGTCTTAAAATCAAAGAGCGTAAAGTCGACATGCCGTACGGTGCTGGACATAGGGTCGCTGGTTGTCTTCAGTCAGTGCGGGGTGTTGGGGGCGTGGCCTGGGCGTGTTGGGGGCGTGGCCTGGGCGTGTTGGGGGCGTGGCCTACTCGGCGCGGTGCACGTCGGCGCACACGCGCGCGCCGCGAGCGCTCGCCCGGCGCATGGGCGGCGACGGCTGCTCGTCGTCGCTCGGGGACCCTGCGGAAACCAATCAAAATCAAAAATATTTATTCAGTTTAGACCACAAGTGGCACTTATGAACGTCAAATATAGCAAACAATAAAAAGAAAAGGTAGCCCTTATGGGGCACTTTACATGTCTCCTTATCTTTTGGGCCCTACCAGCGTTTTGAGACAAACATATGGCAAGTGCTGAGAAGAAACGCCGGAACAAACTCAGTCACTACCATTGTTAGCGAGACTCGGTGTAGGAAGGACCGTGCGCGTTCTCAGTGCAGCGGACGAGACTTTGGATCGGCCGAGGCGTGAAGAACAGTATGTTGTTTTCATTCGTTAAACGACATCCACAGGAAAATTGGTACGACAGCATTTTGTCGTCGGAATTAATAAGAATGAAATTGAACTCTCGTAGCGGCTGGCTCCAGTGAATGTACTGTTAATTGTGATAAATATAAAACGTCAAAATAACGGTATCGTTATAGCCAATGAGCTGCTGTCATAGTGACATTGACGTAATGTCAATGTCACGAATTGTATCTAAATTATGGCAATATAATGTGAATGTTAAGTATCCAGTGTTTTATGTAAGAGAATAGATCTACCGGCCTTTAACAGTACAGACAACGGCACGTCGAGCTGGACACTGCGAGCTCTTATGCAGTTGTAATAGAGGCGGATTAGCAAGCTGAAGTGGCAATGGGCAGGGCATATAGTACGCAGAACTGACGGCCGATGGGGCAGCAAGGTTCTGGAATGGAGGCCGCGTACCGGAAAACGCAGCGTGGGACGTCCACCTACAAGGTGGACCGTCGACATCGTAAAGGTAGCAGGGAAGCGCTGGATGCAGGCCGCTACCAATCGATCAACGTGGAAAGTGTGCCGGTATGCACAATACCACAGAATACATAATAGTAGCAACAGAAATTGCACTCCTTTGTGTAGGATCAGATGCCGGCATTTTAACGGTAATAATAATAATGCAAAATATCCAACGCACATGGTGCATTCGAAATCGCACCTTACTACTACGCTCACAAGATCGCTATTTTTTTGTGTTCAGAATTGATCTACCTCACAGCTCAAGCGTCAGGGTTGTATAAGCAAAGTAAAATAAATAAAAACTTAATTTTAAGAAGCATTTATTGTATTTACGATTGGTAAACTTTAATCTAGTGGTGTTTGTATAATCGTACCATCTCTAAAGTACCTATTAATAAACTTCAGTGTTACGATAATTCGAAATTGGACAAACAGTTTTAAAAGGTGTAGTGTTGGAAAATAGACACGGTAAAGTAAAAGTTAATGTTTTTATTAGGTAAAATATTTTTTTGCTACAGTTTTTTGTCATAAGTATTTCAAAATTATTCAAAAAGTGTAGTTTTTTAAATTATTTAAATCACTACAGTTAATTATTATTTCTAAATATTACGATTTTCCATTAAAGAAGAATAACAGTGCTGTTGGAACAATAAACCTTGATTTAAACGATGATCGACCGAGCGTGTATAGAAATACGCGTGTGCTCACAGGCGCGTCACGGCGCGTGGCGGTCCTGACTGATTTGCAACTTGAAGTTGTCGCGCGCTGTAGGTAATTATCTCGGCCGGCATAGGCGAGTGACGGAGGCCTGACAATACTTAATCTCTTCATATCTTATCTTGATCACGTTCACAATGGAGTGGAAGTGGGTGAAGGTGGTGGTGATGGAGGTTACGTCTTTAACTATTTGTGTAATCTTCGTCGGGGTCACCAATTTGTGCCATGTTCGTCAGGATCGTCTTCTTCGTCCGGTTCGTCGTCGGGGTCACCAATTTGTGCCATCTTCGTCAGGTTCATCTTCTTCGTCGGGGTCACCAATTTGTGCCATGTTGGGGGACCGTATGAATGAGACACGGGTTGTAGTTAGTCTCTGCTATATGTCTGTTTATTAATGTGAACTGCGCGACTATTTATACGATATAGATCAAAGGTAAATGACGTCACAGCATCAGCACTATACGTGATAAATGTGCTGACACTGTGAACGTGATCAAGATAAGATATGAAGAGATTAAGTATTGTGCATACCGGCACAGAAAGCATTAGGGGAGGCCTATGTTCAGCAGTGGACGTCCCATGGCTGAAATGATGATGATGAGAGGCGGTTGTTGGTGTACATGTACTGGCAGTAGTGACCTGCGCGGGAGTGTGGCGGGCGCGGCGGCGCGGCGGGCGCTCAGCAGGGCTGGCCGGCGCGCGGCAGGGGCCGCACGAGGTACAGCTTCTCGCCCTGCTTGTTGGTGTAGATGGGCGCCCGCTGGTAGTGCGCCACGAGCTGGTCCAGCGTCGGGAACTTGCGCTGGAAGGCATCGTATCGGTCACGATTTGAACTAAAGTCCGGTCGCCGAGCAGATAGAATTTAGTCCGATGACCCCAAGCTACCCATCCTTGTCGCTCGCGCGTAATTGTATTGCTGTCGCGCTCGCACTCACTGCGGCCGCCCGTCGCACAGTCGCGACAGCAATATAATTAAGGATGGGCAGCTTGGGGTCATTGGACGAAATTCTATGTACTCGGCGGCCGGACTTTAAACCGTTTTCAAGTCAGTTAATGCAAGTATAGGGACTCAAAAGCGTGACTAATCTCACCTGGCCGATGCAGTAGAGGCTGCCTTCGACGTGCACGCGGAAATGTTTGTTGCGGCCTGGAGCTTTCAGAGACACCGAGTAATCGCCCACCTGGAGCAAAAACGGTAGCTTATTTTAAGGAACTAGGATTACGCTGTAAAAAAGGTCAGAAAATTTATATATAGCTGTATCAATCGGAAATGTTATTTTTAACCGACTTCAACAAAAAGAGGAGGTTCTCAATTCGGTAGGTTTCATGTACCCAGCTTCTGTCCTAGGGGTGACAAGTCATACCCAGCTTCTGGCTTAGGGGGGGCAAATCAGATTTTTTTAGGTCAGATTGACTTATGCCCGTTTTCACCATAAATCCGTAATTTTTAAGTGACCCCTATGTAACACATAACAGGAATTTTGTTTTCATAGGGGTCACTTAAAAGTTAGGGATTGATGGTGAAAACGTACATTTGTCTTTGAGATTTCCCTGTGACCTAATTCAGGTATCAAGTTCTCGCTGACGTTCAGAAGTCGTCCCATTGAAAAATAGTTTTAAATCCCTATTCACAAGGGTCATTTTGATAGAACGATTACTAAAGCCCGGCCCGCGAGCACGTAGAATTTTGTCCAATGACCCCTAGCTACCATTCCACGCGACTGTGCGACTGGCACCCGCAGTGAGTGTGCGAGCGCGATAGCAACATAATTACGCGCGAGCGATAAGGATGGGTAGCTTGGGGTCATTGGACAAAATTCTACGTGCTCACGGACCAGACTATAGATAGGATCGCAACTCAGTGTTTTGTTGTCGTTGAAGTTTTGTTACGTGAATAAGGCTACGGGGAACGCCCATGGTTGGTATAGTTCCAGGGTTTCCCAATGTTTTTTGCCAAGGAACCCTAATTGATTATACTTTTCCTAACGGAACCCCCGTACTACTCCGCCCGCACGCCCTGCTCCTCCCTTGTGCGTAAACAAGTCGGTGCGAGCGAACAACGTCGGTTACGAAACGTGGGATAATATTTTTTACGGAACCCTTGCGGCCTTTCCACGGAACCCCAGGGTTCCGCGGACCACCTTTCGGGAACCGCTGATCTATAGGTGTATCAATCGAAAATGTCCTTTTTAACCGACTTCAACAAAAGGAGGAGATTCTCAATTCGGTTGGTTTCATATATCTAGCTTCTGTCCTAGGGGTGGCAAGCCATACCCAGCTTCTGGCTTAGCGGGGGCAAATCAGATTTTTTTAGGTCGGATTGACTTATGCCCGTTTTCACCATCAATCCCTATTTTTTAAGTGACCTCTATGGTAACACATAACAGGAATTTTATTTTCATAGGGGTCACTTAAAAATTAGGGATTGATGGTGAAAACGGACATTTGTCTTTGAGACTTCCCTGTGGCCTAATTCAGGTATTTTGACAGTCAAGATCTCGCTGACGTTCAGAAGTCGTTCCATTGAAAAACAGTTCTAAATCCCTATTCACAAGGGTCATTTTGATAGAACGATTACTAAAGCCCGGTCCGTGAGCACATAGAATTTTGTCCAATGACCCCAAGCTACCCATCCTTATCGCTCGCGCGTAATTATATTGCTGTCGCGACTGTGCGACTGGCACCCGCAGTGAGTGTGCGAGCGCGATAGCAACATAATTACGCGCGAGCGATAAGGATGGGTAGCTTACGACAACAAAATTCTACGTGCTCACGGACCAGACTATAGATAGGATCGCAACTCAGTGTTTTGTTGTCGTTGAAGTTTTGTTACGTGAGTAAGGCTACGGGGAACGCCCATGGTTGGTATAGTTCCAGGGTTTCCCAATTTTTTTTGCCAAGGAACCCTAATTGATTATACTTTTTCAAACGGAACCCCCGTACTACTCCGTCCGCACGCCCTGCCCCTCCCTTGTGCGTAAACAAGTCGGTGCGAGCGAACAACGTCGGTTACGAAACGTGGGCCTTTCCACGGAACCCCAGGGTTCCGCGGACTACCTTTCGGGAACCGCTGGTATAGTGAATGACTCACGTTGGTCTCCGAGTCGCGGATGAGGAAGTCCCCGTCGTGGCCGTGCTGGTTGAGCAGCGCGTCGCAGTGCGTGCGCGTGATGGCGCCGTAGTACCACGCGCGCGTGCCCAGCGGAGCGCCCGCGCCCGGCGCGCCGCCGCCGCCAGCCTCGCTGCGAACAGAACAAGAACAATAGTACCTACTAAGGAACGCAATGTAGGACCGGTGGCCACGTTGGCTTAAGGCCAGGTCAGATAATGAGCGCTCAACGCGCGTTTAACCTGGCCAAATGATTTCATGGGCATAACGTTGAGCACATCTTTCGAATTATTGTTGGTTTGTGTACATCCCATCTCTTCGATCTCAGACAGTACCTGTTGTAGGGTTGCGTGAGGTAAACTAAGGCTGGGAAAACGATCCCAAAGCCCACGCGCTCAGGCGCAGACGGAAGAAGAAGATTTACTCGTCCCCTTCCCTAGTTGAGACCAGTGGGCAATAGCCCGGGAGAGCCATCTAAGTGATGGTCATGGTCATTACATGGTCTCTACCAAGTGCATCGGTAAACCCCCTCTTTAGCGGGAGGCCTGACAAATGTCTTGGTAGCTGCTATCTTCTTCTTCATATTCATATTTATTCGGACTTGTAGGGATAGGGTAAATGAATTGTTATAATAAGAAAGAAAGAAAGAAAGAAAAACTTTATTTGACACAAAAAGGAAAAAATAAAAATAAGATTGAGTGAAACTGTCTATTGTTTGTAGGCCCGTTGTTTGTTATTTCTTTGTTATTTAAATGTTGTGCTCTAATCGGAGTTCAGACTTAATATTTTGCTATGTTGTTGTGTTAATTGTATTGTTATTGTTTGTTCTCTGTAGCTGTGCCTTAAATAAATAAATAAATATTCGTTTCGCTCTTGGCAGAGCGGTCGTGGTCACGTTGGGGCTTTGTTCACGTCAGTTTTAGCTGATAGTGCTACCATCCATAAAGGGAGTCCCACATGACCTGTAGGGCTGCGTGAGGTACACTCGGCTCGGAGCAGGCGTACCTATACGGCTTCGTGAGGTACACTCGACGTACCTGTAGGGCTGTGTGAGGTCACTCGACGTACCTGTAGGGCTGCGTGAGGTCACTCGACGTACCTGTAGGGCTGCGTGAGGTACACTCGGCGTACCTGTAGGGCTGCGTGAGGTACACTCGGCGTACCTGTAGGGCTGCGTGAGGTACACTCGGCGTACCTGTAGGGCTGCGTGAGGTACACTCGGCGTACCTGTAGGGCTGCGTGAGGTACACTCGGCGTACCTGTAGGGCTGCGTGAGGTACACTCGGCGTACCTGTAGGGCTGCGTGAGGTACACTCGGCGTACCTGTAGGGCTGCGTGAGGTACACTCGGCGTACCTGTAGGGCTGCGTGAGGTACACTCGGCGTACCTGTAGGGCTGCGTGAGGTACACTCGGCGTACCTGTAGGGCTGCGTGAGGTACACTCGGCGTACCTGTAGGGCTGCGTGAGGTACACTCGGCGTACCTGTAGGGCTGCGTGAGGTACACTCGGCGTACCTGTAGGGCTGCGTGAGGTACACTCGGCGTACCTGTAGGGCTGCGTGAGGTACACTCGGCGTACCTGTAGGGCTGCGTGAGGTACACTCGGCGTACCTGTAGGGCTGCGTGAGGTACACTCGGCGTACCTGTAGGGCTGCGTGAGGTACACTCGGCGTACCTGTAGGGCTGCGTGAGGTACACTCGGCGTACCTGTAGGGCTGCGTGAGGTACACTCGGCGTACCTGTAGGGCTGCGTGAGGTACACTCGGCGTACCTGTAGGGCTGCGTGAGGTACACTCGGCGTACCTGTAGGGCTGCGTGAGGTACACTCGGCGTACCTGTAGGGCTGCGTGAGGTACACTCGGCGTACCTGTAGGGCTGCGTGAGGTACACTCGGCGTACCTGTAGGGCTGCGTGAGGTAGTCGGCGAGCTCCTGCAGGTAGTTGCGCGGCACGAGCCCCAGCTGGCCGCGCGAGTCGCGCGCGCGGTACCACTCGGGGTCGGACGGCGGCCGCTCCACGATCTCCAGCCGGTCGCCCTTCTCGAACGACAGCTCCTGCTCGTTGTTCGACGTGAACGAGTACAGCGCCACCTGGTGACACGACAACGTAAGAAAATGTTGCTAGAATTACGGGGTATCATATGTAGGCGATGAGCGCGATCAAAACAATGGCAATGGCATCCCTTGTTTGCAGCTTACGTTTCAGTATGCGGCGCGATGCGACGGTATCCTAAGTCAGCGACGAATGCGACGCAACGCGAAACACTCATTGCACCGTATTAATGCACCAAGTATATTGCTTATACTCTGGTTTTGCTTACTTTATCACCTTATCTATTACACTGCTCATCATAAAAATCGACCCACCCGAGACAAGCACTTTTAAACGTATGCATCCCCACTTCCCACCAATATTACTATACTATATTACCATTTAAAAGCCTAGTTATAAACTTCATTTCATTAAAGGAAAGGTTTTTACCCCAAAAATGTATCTGTAGAAGAATCCAGTCACTTCTTCAAAAAATAGGTAGTTACGCTTGAGCCAACTTTTATGGCTATAAAACTGTTAAGTTGGGATTAATCGCTATCCATCTGTTAAAGAGGACACGTGAGATCATTATTTGGTTTTATAACCATAAAAATTTGTCTAATTGATCCCAGAGGTGAGCCCAAAGTGAGGTCTTTTTTCAAGTTTTTCAAGTCACATTTATTGTATATGTTAATCGTTTATTAGGAAATTAAATGTCTTTTTCTTTAAGGATATTTATTGGGCTTTCAAATAACACCAATATTGTTGGGGCACCATGATTGTGTCAGTAGAAACGAGTTTTCCTGTAAAACGTAGGTGGGCCGATTTTTGTGATGACCAGTGTAGTTAAAACCTTTTCTGACCGGTAGTTTAGGTTCTAGCGATATATGATAAAAGCTACATTCTTAAAATATTTTTACTCATGCTTTAAAAAACCCGAAAAATATACATAATATGACTGGTTGACATTAAGAATGGTTGTGACTTGTTGTGAACTTACAACAATGTCGAGGACGTTTTCGGCCATCGCGTAGGTGTGCACCGGGTCCTCATTGTCGCCCTCTTCGCTGGTGTAGTTCGATGGAAACCTGCAAACGGCAGTGCCACTTAATAACTGTTCTGAGTGTCAATTATTGTTTATCACCTTACACGAAATATATTTTAAGATTAATGTAATCAAAACTGCGCACTAAACATTAGCTTATTGTTTAAATTTTACAAAAACTGGGTGCGTTTTCCAGAAATGAACTAATTTGTAACTTTTGTACAATTAAGAATTGTTTTTTTTTTCCTGTAAGTTATCTTTTTGGGAGTTTACATATTTACATAATCCCTATAAAATTGACCTTATTTGTATGTTTGAGCACATTAAAGAACATAGTAGACACGTCATTATACTGCAAAACATTAAAAATAATGTTGCAGGATTCCGTTAAAACGGTTTCAGGTAGCAAAACAAATTCCAAATGTTACAAAGTGGCACATTTTACTCACAAATTAAGTCATTTGCTTTTCTAATTGCAAAATTCCACAACTGCAATTAGTGTGGCACAAGTTAACTTGTCGCGCTTTTGACTTATTGAGTCTGGTGGGTGGTCAAGGTCATCCAGTATCTTCCTACACAGTGCCACAGTATAAAACGAGCTTTAACAAAAATATGTAATAAACTTTACGCTAAACACATCTTGAGACGATACGTCTTATCAAAATGCGATTCAATTTTAATAGCATTAGGAACCTAGGATGTCACTTAAGTGGAAACTCAATCGACTATTTGGTCCCCCTTTATTTGCAAAATTAGCGCACTTACTTGTAGACTTGTGACTTGAAGATGTCTTACTATAATTGTTTTACTATGCCTACTTAATTGCCGGCCTTACAGGGAACCTTGTGAAGATATTCATTGAAATAATACAGAGAAAGTGGACCTTGTTTTAACAAATAATTGTACTTGAACAAGTATTCGGCTGTCAGGTATTAATGTTGCAATTAACGTTTGACCTTCGTGTTTTTTTTAATTAAATTAACTTTTTAAACAATATACGAGTTGTCTTCAAGTTTAACTTGCCATAACAATATTATGTAGAAAATAACTTCTATTTTTAAGTCTGTCAAAAAGGTGGAGTTGATATCAAAGTGTTAATGTTGATTCATTAACACTTTGATATCAACTCCACCTTTACACAATAGCCCTAACTGATAAAGTTTGAAGAGTTTCAGTAAGTATAGAGTTATAACGACATTATGACCAGCAGCGGCGGCGCTGAAAGTCCGACACCTTCGGCTTTGTTTATTGTTGCCTTCCTTCGACTGCACAGTTATTCTTAAAGTAATAAGTACTCATTAGTCCAGCCTGCAGTGGTGGAATGTCATCATCATCATCATTTTAGCCACAGGACGTCCACTGCTGAACATAGGCCTCCCCTAATGCTTTCCACATTGATCGATTGGTAGCAGCCTGCATCCAGCGCTTCCCTGCTACCTTTACGATGTCGTCAGTCCAGCTTGTGGGTGGACGTCCCACGCTGCGTTTTCCGGTACGCGGCCTCCATTCCAGAACCTTGCTGCCCCATCGGCCGTCAGTTCTGTGTACTATATGCCCTGCCCATTGCCACTTCAGCTTTCTAATCCGTCGGGCTATGTCAGCAACTTTAGTTCGTTTACGGATTTCCTCATTTCATTTTCGTTAAAGTAATAAGTACTCATTAGTCCAGCCTGCATCAGTGTAATGTAACAGAAGGTATCTCACCAGCCGGTGTGTCCCTGGTACTGGCCGCGCCACCAGCCGTCATTGCTCTTCTCCAGGATGAGGATGCGCGTGCCCTTGGTCAGCGACAGCTCGTCCGGCTGCTGCGCTTGGTAGTTGTACTTCACCACCGCCGTGCCTGGATTCATGATCAATAGCTCAGTAACTAAAGTCTGGTCCGTGAGCACGTAGAATTTTGTCGAATGACCCCAAGCTACCCATCCTTATCGCTCGCGCGTAATTATATTGTGTCGCGACTGTGCGACGGGCGCCCGCAGTGAGTGTGCGAGCGCGACGCGCGAGCGATAAGCTTGGGGTCATTGGACAACATTCTACGTGCTCATGGACCAGGCTTTAGCAACCAGTTTAGTGAGAATTTGACATTCAAACACATTATTAATTAAAAAACTGTAGCTTTTGTTTTATGGGACAGACAAATGAGCACAGGGATCACATGATGGTAAGTAATTACCGCCGCCCAGACACCCGCAGCCTCGAGAGACAATTTCTATTAGCAAAAATATACCTAGCTTTTATTATCATCATTACAGAACAAATTATATTAAACCTTCTACTGTGAAGGACACGATTTTTGCACAACTTTTATAAGACTAAACCAAAATCAGAATTTGTTACAATGACATTATAAAAGGATATTTAAGGGGTATTAACCCAATTTAATTTTCACAGAAGTTGACATTACCTAGGGCTTCGGTGGCGTCGACGCGGCGCGCGCCCGGCGACTCCGCCCCGCCGCCGCCGCCTCCGCGGACCGGGGAGGAGTTCGACGGGAGCGTCTTTGAGCCGGAGCCTTTCTTCACCTTCTTCTTAATACTGGAAGTTATATTGATATGTTTCAGTTGGATATCGCTCCTAGTCTCTTGCGAAGTTGTCGAGAACTAATGGCCAAATTGGAAAATGTTGGCTGAAGAGTTCCAAAACCGAAGTTTTGGGCACGATCTTTGTTGCAAACATTTGCCTAACGACATTTGCAACATAGATCGTCGTCTCTTACATTCTGTAAGTAGGTACAAAGTAGATTTACGCCATTTTCATGTTTCAGGTCCTGTCGTTGTTTCCCATCCAATATTTGTTATGTCTAAGGAGAATGAATAGATACGAAATTACGAAAACTCCTGGAAATATGCAATGACTCATGGTAGGAGTCAGAAAGAACAGTGTGAAGTGTGGACAAGGGAAATTATTCCAATTGCAAAGTTGAACTACCTAGGATATGTTGTTTGACAACAAGGTAGGAATCATCTCGATATAATAAATTGTATAAAATATTTATCACAATAAAATATCTGGAATACTGGGATCATGTTACACAATTTATTAAGGCAATTCAAAGGGTGAAACAATGGGGAGTTACTACAATAGACTTGCCTCTTTCATGGTGCAGGTAGACACAAAAGTGTACAATACAAAGGTAATTCATAGTAGGCATAAAAAAGGCAAAAAGAAAAGTATGTATGTACTATCGAGGACTCGGACGCNTAGACCTATAGTATAATATTTTTTGTTAATTTATGAAAATATTAAATTAGCCTATAATCCTGAATCCTGATACATAAAGTTAGCCTATTAATTTAATACAGGTACGACTGTACCCAGTGTTGCACTATCAAATGCAATTGACGCGCCTCTATGCCAGGGTTTTTATGTTCCTGGTCAGGCTATACATGTATACCTCTAAACTCAGTCTGAACTAAGTTACGAGCTTTAGAAGTTTGATGATTTTACATACTAGATTTGCTTTTTGCGCGCAAATTTTGTAAGAAATTGCAACAAAATAGTGACATTGTATGTGTAAACAAACAATACCATCCATTAAAGGCTCCAGACATCAGTGTGGAGCAGAATCAGCGCAATAAAAAATAGCTCAATATTTTGTTGCAATTTCTTACAAAACTTGCGCACAAAAAGCAAATCTAGTATGTAAAATCATCAAACTTCTAACGCTCGTAACTCAGTTCAGACTGAGTTTAGAGGTATACATGTGATAGTAAGTTTGGTTTATTACACTATTTTGTAACCAAAAAACAAAGTTTGGTCGATGGCCGCGCGAAAAAAAAAAGACGCCACCCTCCATACAAAATCTGGCATTGCCATTTCATCAAAATCGGTTCAATGGTTTAGGCGTGAAAGCAAGACAGACAGAGTTACTTTCGCATTTATAATATTAAGTATAGATTACGCGGTGTCCTCAGTTTACATTCACCATAGCGTGTACAGTGGGCATCACTGTGCATGCAAAAGTTGTTCATATTGCAGCGTTCGTGTTCCAAACGTTCACAATGAAAAAATCCGCCAATTTCAAGATCAAAAAAGTCAAAATATAAGAGACCGCGGCCAATGACAGGACGAGTCAATGTGAACGTTGCTACAAATTCTTAAACGACGTCTGATCGCCTCCGTGCACGCCATTGCGCACGCAGACTGAACGCGTTGGTTTGGCCGAAGCTTTTGTAAAAGACTCATGTTTTCCAATACTGATACAAATAGTAAAATCAAAAGGATTGTTGTAACTCACGACAATGTCGAGGACGTTTTCTGCCATCGCGTAGGTGTGCACCGGGTCCTCATTGTCGCCCTCTTCGCTGGTGTAGTTCGATGGAAACCTGCAAACGACAGTAGCACTTAATAACTATGTCAGAGAATCGGTAATTCTTTATCAAATTACACAAAATACATATTTTAAGATAATAAAAACCGCGTTCTACATAATAGCTTTGTTTAACTTTTACAAAAACTTTGAACGGCTTCCAAGAATGAATTAATATGTACCTTAAGTACAATTAAAAATTATGTTTTCCGGTAAGTTATAATTTTGTGTTTACTTTGTGCCTATAGGATTTTTTTAAAACTGGTATTTTGCTACGAGAATCAAAGTTTTTTTTAATAGTATGTGTTAAATTATTATTAAGTTACTTTTTTGACCTTGTTCTTTCCAATGCTTGAGTTTATTCACATCATACAACACGTAATAATGTAAATCATTAAAAATAATGTTGCCAGATTCCATTAAAACGGTTTCAGGTAGCAATACAAATTCCAAATGTTACAAAGTGGTACATTTTACTCACAAATTAAGTCATTTGCTTTTCTAATTGCAAAATTCCACAACTGCAATTAGTGTGGCACAAGTTAACTTGTCGCGCTTTTGACTCAATATTCCGGTGGGTGTTCAATGCCGCGACGGTCATCCAGTATCTTCCTACACAGTGCCACAGTATAAAACGAGCTTTAACAAAAATATGTATCTAAAACTTTACGCTAAACAAATATTGAGACGATACGTCTCGTCAAAATGCGATTCAATTTTAATAGCATTAAGAACCTAGGATGTCACTTATGTGGCAACTCAATCGACTATTTGGTCCCCCTTTATTTGCAAGATTAGCGCACTTACTTGTAGACTTGTGACTTGAAGATGTCTTACTATTATTGTTTTACTATGCCTATTTAATTGCCGGCCTTACAGGGAACCTTGTGAAGATATTCATTGAAATAATACAGAGAAAGTGGACCTTGTTTTAACTAATAATTGTACTTGAACAAGTATTCGGCTGTCAGGTATTAATGTTGCAATTAACGTTTGACCTTCGTGTTTTTTTCTGAATTATATTAACTTTTTAAACAATATACGAGTTGCCTTCAAGTTTAACTTGCCATAACAATATTATGTAGAAAATAACCTCTACTTTGAAGTCTGTCAAAAAGGTGGAGTTGGAATCGAAGTGTTAATGAATCAAACAATAGCCCTAACTGATAAAGTTTGAAGAGTTTCAGTAAGTACAGAGTTATGACGACATTATGACCAGCAGCGGCGGCGCTGAAAGTCCGACACCTTCGGCTTTGTTTATTGTTGCCTTCCTTCGACTGCACAGTTATTGTTTTGTTAAAGTAATAAGTACTCATTAGTCCAGCCTGCAGTGGTGGAATGTCATCATCATCATCATCATCATTTTAGCCACAGGACGTCCAATGCTGAACATAGGCCTCCCCCAATGACTTCCACATCGCACGGTTGGTAGCGGCCTGCATCCAGCGCCTTCCTGCTACCTTTATCAGGTCGTCGTCACCTTGTGGGTGGACGTCCCACGCTGCGTTTTCCGGTTGCGTGGTGGAATGTAACAGAAGGTGTCTCACCAGCCGGTGTGGCCCTGGTACTGGCCGCGCCACCAGCCGTCATTGCTCTTCTCCAGGATGAGGATGCGCGTGCCCTTGGTCAGCGACAGCTCGTCCGGCTGCTGCGCTTGGTAATTGTACTTCACCACCGCCGTACCTGGATTCATGATCAATGGGTCAGTAAAGCAACCAGTTTAGTGAGAATTTGACATTCAAACACAATTATTAATTAAAAAACTGTAGCTTTTGTTTTATGGGACAAATGAGCACAGGGATCAATCACATGATGGTAAGTAATTACCGCCGCCCAGACACCCGCAGCCTCGAGGGACATCATTTCTATTTGCAAAAATAGTATACCTAGCTTTTATTACCATCATTACAGAACAAATAATATTAAACCTTCTACTATGAAGGATTTTTGCACAACTTTTATAAGACTAAACCAAAATCAGAATTTGTTACAATGACATTATAAAAGGATATTTAATGGGTATTAACCTTATTTAATTTTCACAGATGTTTACATTACCTAGGGCTTCGGTGGCGTCGACGCGGCGCGCGCCCGGCGACTCCGCCCCGCCGCCGCCGCCGCCGCGGACCGGGGAGGAGTTCGACGGGAGCGTCTTTGAGCCGGAGCCTTTCTTCACCTTCTTCTTAATACTGGAAGTTACATGGATATGTTTCAGTTGGATATCGCCCCTAGTCTCTTGCGAAGTTGTCGAGAACTATACCAATGGCTAAATTGGAAAATGTTGACTGACGAGTTCCAAAACAAAGATTTGGGCACGATCTTTGTTACAAACATTTGCCTAACGACATTTGCAACATAGATCGTCGTCTCTTACATTCTATAAGTAGGTACGTACTATGAAGTAGATTTACGCCATTTTCATGTTTCAGGTCCTGTCGTTGTCGCCCATCCTAAATTTGTTGTCTAAGGAGAATCAATAGACACGGATTCCGTATTACGGAATTACGAAAACTGCTGGAAATATGCAATGACTCATGGTAGGAGTCAGAAAGAACAGTGTGAAGTGTGGACAAGAGAAATTATTCCAATTGCAAAGTTGAACTACCTAGGATATGTAGTTTGACAACAAGGTACAAATCATCTTGATAACAATAAATTGTATAAAATATTTATCACAATAAAATATCTGGAATACTGGGATCATGTTACACAACTTATTAAGGCTATTCAAAGGGTGAAACAATGGGGAATTACTACAATAGACTTGCCTCTTTCATGGTGCTAATGTAGGTAGACCCAAAAGTGTACAATATAATACAAAGGATTTTACCTTAATGTAATTCGTGCATCAAAAAAGGCAAAAAGAAAGTGCCTATAACTCTGAACATAAAACTAAAAAAAAAAAAAATTATTGTCTGTTTACTAACAATTCACTTTACTATTTATACTAGGTAGTGCAAAAATTGCACCTTGCTCATTTGAAATTTCAATGAAATGAATGTTAATAACTGAGTTGCTAATCCAGTTTGTAATATAATGAGTACACCAGCAATTTGTGTTTCTAGGACAGCTAGGCTTAGGCAAGTCTATCTGAATTTTAATGCTTGCCTTTACTTTAATGATTAAGATAAAATTTTCAAAATAAGTTGTTCAGCATTAAATGATATAGTAAAGACATAAGTGAAGGTTCTAAACAAGAGGTTAATTAACACACTTCACAATGCTACCATGTTAATTTTACATTCACATGAACATACCAACAGTAATTGTACTAATTAGCACTGATGGCAAATTGTATAATATGTACTGACACAGTACTTAATTAGAAATATGTGAGTTGTATGTTTGTACATTATCATGGAACAATAAGGAAAAGCCTGGAGTAAATACTGTATTTATGATAAGAATGTGTGTTCAATATGTGTAGCAAAACCACACTGGCTTATTAGGAGAATATTATTATTTAGTTTTAAAGCTGATTTTATTACAATACCTGAGATTTTAAACAACCACCTTTCCTGCCTGCTAGGAAGTGGTTAACATATTGTATATCCTAATAATACCTTTGTTTTGCAAATTATCACTCATTACATACCAAATACCAAAATATCTAATTGGAATACTTCAACCTTATATCCTGTCCAATGACCTGATTTATGTTAAATGATTTACCTGTCAAACAGTGAAGGCTTTTCCTTCTTCACATAGTTACTGGGAACATAGCCCGACTGACTGCGGGCATTCTGCACCCGCCACCAGTGCTTGGAGTCATCGAGGAGGAGGTATCGTTCATTCTTGCGCAAATCCAGCTCCTGGGCACCCTGAGCTGCATAGTCATACTTTGCTACCACGTAGCAAACATCATCCTATAACAATTGCATATTTGGCTAAGAAACTTATTGGTAGTTTCACAAATTTGTTCAGATTGGTCAAATGCATATCAAGAGCCACTCTACCAGACTTTGTGCTGGGATATTTATGGAGACTGGAAACTATTTAGCTCACCCTCAAGGCATAGGAATGAGATTAAGCTTGGAGACTGCTATTTTCTGAAGACATTTGGTGAGTTTAGATCAAGGGACAGGTTTTTACCTGAGCATTCTTCCCGTGCCTGGCATTGGCCATGGCGTGCGGCGCCGGCAGCGGCTTGTTGGCCCACACCGAGTCTGCGGCGCGCGCCGACCGCGTCTCCAACATGACACCCCCTGGCAGGGCTCCGCGATCAGCTCCGCCGCCTCACTGATACATCGCACTGCACTATCCGCACCACACCGCACTGCACCACAACACCACCACGGCGATCGATCGCCGAACGACGCGATACGCGAAAAGACTCGATTGTTTATTATTAGGACGTGCGAAAATCCGATCGAAAGCTATCAGCGAAAGGAGAGTTGCATTGGAACTGAGAAATCCTCGTTCTGTCGTATACCTATATGGTGGCTGTGTAAAAACTGGAATTATGTAATTCTTATGTCATCTATTCGTTTTGCGGTTGAAAACTCTCACGCTTTTATTGTAATTTACAAGATTTTAACTAAATTTTTAACATAAAATCGGTGGGGCAACTATGAATCAATAGACAAATTTTTTTTCTTCAATTTAGCGAAGAAAAAAAATGATAATGCCAAACCATAAACTTCATTCATCAGTCATCGGTATTTAGTTAATCGATTCCATCGTTTATCAATAATTTATGTAAAACAAATAAAATATACGACAGCCAATTCGGTAAATGAAATTACCGTTTTATCATGCTGCAAAATTTAAGCTTTTTCAATAGCTCAAAAACTACGATTTGTGCTTCGATCAATAAGCAAAAAAATGAATGAGTGAACGAGGAATTACATCACTATCAAAAAAAAAAATACTCTTCACTCAATTTTGACGTTTCATCATTATTAAAGTTCATTCATTCATTCGTGTCAGTTCAGTAATCTGTGGTGACGTTTTTATTTGCTGTGTGAAGCGTTTTCATAAAATATTCTCTCGTTTTGAATCAAAATCAGTGTTAAATGGGTTGGTAAAACAGACGGTCGTCTAGTAAGTTACAATGTCCGACTCCGAGGGCAGTAATTTTTCGGGTAACGCGTCGGACGCGGGCAGTGTAGTGTCGAATCGGTCCCGCAGAAGTGCCGCGTCGAATCGTTCCGCGCGTTCGCGTTCCAGCTCGCGGTCGCCGTCGCAGGGCAGCCGCAGCCGGAGCCCGTCCAGGAGCCCCTCGCGCTCCAGGTCCCGTTCCCGGTCGCGCTCGAAGTCCCGGTCGCGGTCTAGGTGAGTGTAACATAACCTTGTAAGTTACCTATATTTTGTGCAAACGTTTGATAACAATCCTCCTTGTTCCCACAGGAGCCGCTCAGCTGGCTCCGATGCCAGCCGCAACAGAGATGACGAGGCTAAAGAAGCATCTGGTGACGAAGATGTAGAGGTAATGTTTCATATTAATTTTACTTGGTAAATTTTGTTGTGTTGCTTGATATTTAAAGAAAGTATGTGAAACTTGTTATTTATTATGATGTTGTTTGCCAAAAGATGATGCAATGTCACGTGACTATGTGTAAATTAGCTATTAACAAATGTATAAATATTGTAAGGCCAGCTGCGTTAACTTTCCGTGTTTTCTAGGATGAGCAAGAGCCGGAGGGAGAAGACTTGGTGGACTCGGAAGAGTATGATGAAGACGAAGACGAGGAGAGACGTAGAAAGAAGCGTAAGAAGGACAGTCGCTACGGAGGGTTCATTATTGATGAGGCTGAGGTATGATATTGGCAGTTGAATGCGTATTTTTAGAAACACCATCATCCTACATCACAGCATTATGTTTGATCTTGTCATAAAGCTATGTATGTTTTTAGACCACAAATTCTATTTAAAATGTTGAGGTTATTAGTTTTTTGATGACCAATCAATGTCTGAAACAGGAACTTGGCTTGAAAATGCGCTTTCCGTGTGTCTAGATTTATGACAAATATTACACAATATTTACAAGATGGCAAAAATAATTAGGTCATTTTGTTAAACCACAAGTTGTTATTCAGAATGGAACTATGTCAAAAGCACATTTATTATGCAATCTGGTATACAGTTATTTCAATAAACTACATGTGTTTTTTCTGTACAGATCTTGGTTTATTTGATGGTAATGAAACCAAACTGATGTTTCCAGGTGGATGATGAAGTTGATGAAGATGACGAGTGGGAGGAAGGTGCCCAAGAAATGGGTATCGTTGGCAATGAGGTCGATGAAATTGGACCCACGGCTAGAGAAATTGAAGGTAGGCGAAGAGGCACAAACCTTTGGGACTCACAGAAAGAAGAGGAAATTGAGGAATACCTTAGAAATAAGTATGCAGATGAATCAGCTGCACTCAGGCACTTTGGGGAAGGTGGCGAGGAGATGTCCGATGAGATCACTCAACAGACCCTCCTGCCAGGCATCAAAGACCCCAACCTGTGGATGGTCAAATGTCGCATAGGTGAAGAAAAAGCAACTGTGTTGTTGCTTATGAGAAAATTCATAGCATATCAGAGTTCCGAGGAGCCATTCCAAATCAAGTCAGTGGTAGCACCAGAAGGTGTAAAAGGCTACATCTACATCGAGGCATACAAGCAGACCCATGTGAAAGCGATCATAAACAATGTGGGCACACTGAGGATGGGTATTTGGAAGCAGGACATGGTTCCGATTAAGGAAATGACTGATGTGCTGAGAGTGGTCAAGGAGCAGTCAGGTCTGAAGCCCAAACAGTGGGTTAGATTGAAGAGGGGTCTGTACAAAGATGATATTGCTCAAGTGGACTATGTAGATCTGGCTCAAAATCAGGTCCATCTGAAGTTGCTGCCTAGAATAGATTACACAAGACTGAGAGGAGCGCTGAGGACCGTTCAAAGCGAGAGCGAGGCGGCGAAGCGAAAGAAGAAGAGGCGTCCGGCCGCGAAGCCCTTCGACCCGGAGGCGATCCGCGCGATCGGCGGGGAAGTAACGTCCGATGGTGACTTCCTAATATTCGAGGGCAACAGATACTCCCGGAAAGGGTTTTTGTACAAGAACTTTACGATGTCGGCGATTCTGGCGGAGGGCGTAAAGCCAACTCTAACCGAGTTAGAAAGGTTTGAGGAGCAGCCGGAGGGTATAGATATCGAGCTGGCGGCACCAGCTAAAGACGATCCGACGAGCCTGCATTCGTTTTCTATGGGGGACAACGTGGAGGTGTGCTCGGGCGACCTGGCCAACCTGCAGGCGCGTATCATTGCCATCGACGGCTCCATGATCACCGTGATGCCGAAACACGACGCGCTCAAGGACCCGCTCGTGTTCAAGCCCAATGAGCTGAGGAAGTACTTCAAGCAGGGCGACCATGTCAAGGTATGTTCTAATGCATTCTAAATTAACTGATTTGCTGACAAATATCCTGGCACAAATATCTTGAGTAAAAAGAAAAAAAATATTTGGCAAATTTTAGTCATTACTGGCCAATTATATGTTTTTAAAATTTATCAGCAGAATCGGGAAATATTGCGCAATGGCAATGGCGCAACGCAATATTAATTTGCTAGTGGTATGTGTGGAATATTGTAAGAGACGGCTAATGATGAAATATGGCCATCAAACGTCTCTTACTCATCTGGTATGCAAAACTGCTAAATTGAAAGCGTCCTTATTGTCGAATTTGACAAAATACTGTTACCGCGGTATTCGATATTTATCACTGCGCGCATTGTAGGCCTACAGATGGTGATGATGATGTTTTAGGTGCTGGCGGGTCGCTACGAAGGCGACACGGGTCTCATCGTGCGGGTAGAAGCTCACCGCGTGGTCTTAGTGTCGGACCTGACGATGCACGAGCTCGAGGTGCTCCCGCGCGACCTGCAGCTGTGCTCCGACATGGCCACAGGCGTGGACTCGCTCGGACAGTTCCAGTGGGGAGACATGGTGCAACTGGACCCGCAGACTGTGGGCGTTATTGTGAGATTGGAGAAGGAGAACTTCCACGTGCTCGGTATGCAGGGCAAGGTACACACCCTTTATTTTTCATAACAAATCTTTTTATTCAGTACTTAGGCCCTTTCCACTACATCGGGACAACATATTCACTTCCTATTTATGACATGCTTATTCATTTGATTACCACAATTTGAGAAAACGTCATATTAGTAATTTGTACATTTAATGATACTGGTCCAAATGTAGAATCCTGTGGCACTTCTAAAAGATTAAAGAAGAGAATTAATGATACTGGTCTAAATGTAGAACCTTGTGGCACTTCTAAAAGATTAAAGAAGAGAATTAATGATACTGGTCTAAATGTAGAACCCTGTGGCACTCCTAAAAGATTAAAGAAGATAAATGTAGGTCAGATATTATTTGGTGGACGGACAGCACTTCAGACTATATTATAGTTTCGTTGAAATATTGAACCTATTAATACAAGTTCTCTAGATATGCCACAGTATTTACCTCGCTTCATGCCATCGCCTATACTCATAACCAAAGTAATATCTATACTCCTTTTTTCGACAGGTCATAGAATGTAAACCGCAAGCTTTACAGAAGCGTCGCGAGAACCGCTTCACGATGGCCCTCGACTCGGAAGAGAACACGATACAGAAGCGCGACGTCGTCAAAGTGATAGACGGCCCGCACGCCGGCCGCAACGGAGAAATCAAGCACCTGTACAGAAACTTCGCGTTTCTGCAGTCGAGAATGTACCTAGACAATGGGGGTATATTCGTGTGCAAGACGAGGCATTTGCAACTCGCTGGGGGGAATAGGAACGCGAATGCTTCGAATCCTACTATGGGATTCATGTCTCCGAGGATACATTCGCCGATGCATCCTTCGGGGCGCGGCGGGGGCACGCCGAGAGGGGAGCGCGGCAGGGGAGGGGGCAGAGGCGGCGCTACACGTGACCGGGAACTTATTGGACAAACGATCAAGATCACCGGAGGACCCTACAAGGTTTTTATATCGTTTCACTGTGGACTCGCGTCGATTTTACCGAGTTTACGTTCTACAAAGCTTAGTTAAAATGTTCAAATTTTTTCCGACTATTCAACCAGGCGTTTTTGGATGCGTATGGATGTATGCTACATTAGAGGCAACTTAGTTAGGTCATTTCTAGATTGGCAATACCTGATTGACCGGTATGCTCTACATTGAATGTGTCTCTTATGTTGTACCTTTCTTATGGTTAGGCCAAACTAACGCATGCAGCCTGCGTGCGCAATGGCGATTAGATTTGTAGTCATCAACGCATTCTGTCATTGGTCGCGGCGATCTATGCGCAGTGATCGCCATCGCACGCGTTGGTTTGGCCGAAGCTTTATAGGTTAACTTACTTTCATGATCACCAGGGCAATATAGGCATAGTGAAAGACACGAGAAACTTAGTCGGTTGCTAGTTTAAAAACAAAGGACTGCGGCGCGAGAGTCTGCGTTGCGGTTACCGGGCCCAGCTTTCATACACGTAGAGATTAACTTCCCCCTTTATCACCAGGGTAACGTGGGCACAGTAAAAAGACACGATTGTCTTAGTCGCTCGCTAGTTTAAGAACAAAAGACTGCGGCGTGAGACGAGACGCTCTCCTGTTGCGCTGATCTTTCGAGTTTAACATATCCCAAGGACTGCGACGCGAGAGTTACGTTGTGATCGATACCTTCATAGAGTTTTAACCTATCCCATCGCCAGGGAAACGTGGGCGTGGTCAAAGACGTGACAGTCTTAGTCGCTCGCTAATTTAAAAACAAAAGACTGCGGCACATGCGACTTTGCAGTCACCACCTTCTTAGAGTTTAATCTATCCCATCTCCAGGGCAACGCGGCAGTCTCAGTCGCTCGCTAGTTTATTTATTTATTTATTTATATTAGGAAGACCAGGGTTTACATAATTGATTATTTTACAGTTAATAACACCTGATAACCACTTATAGGTCCCCACAGATAGAATTGTGGTGGATATTTAAAGAAATTATAAAAACAGATAGAATTTATATGATACACGATACACCTAATGTTGTATTAAAGAGATAGTAATTTAACCATATTAGATTTCCCGTTACCTCATATCTATATATATAAAAGAAAGTCGTGTTAGTTACTTCGCTTATAACTCAAGAACGGCTGAACCGATTTAGCTGAAAATTGTCAGGGAGGTAGTTTATAGCCAGGAGAAGGACATAGGATACTTTTTATCCCGTTCGAAATAAAAAAAAAGTCTGCTTATTTATTGCCATTAGGGCGGAACAAAGTTCGCCGGGTCAGCTAGTTTATAATAAACAACATGATAAAAAAAAATCTACATGATAGGCTTGAAAAAACGCTCGCTCAGCAGCCGCCTAAGCGCTGGTATGCTAGTATAGAATAAATCAATATCTAGTTCCTTACTCAGTCTGTTAAAAACAAAGGACTGCCGTGATTCCGCTGATCCTTTATAGAGTTTAACCTCATCGCCAGGGCAACGTGGGCATCGTCAAAGACGCCACAGGGTCCACAGCCCGCGTGGAGCTGCACTCCACGTGTCAGACGATATCCGTGGACCGCGGGCACATCGCGCAGGCGGGCGCGGCGGGCGCGGCCGGCTCCACCAGCTTCCGAACGCCGTCCGGCCGCACGCCGGCGCCGGGCTCCGGCGCTATGACGCCTACGTACAGGGATACTGGTAAGCTTTGTTCCATTAGGGATGTTTCCTGGGTCAAAAAGCAAGAGTTTTAATTAGTCCGTCAGTTAACTTATAAAAAAATACTCACTAGCCTTTTACCAGAGTAAATACAAATGAGTAGGTCATCATCATAGAAACGCACCGAGCGCGGTATGTATGCGAGCGCGCCAATATACGTATGCGGCGCGCACGCACACACTGACAAGATTCGGCTCCCCGCTAATCCGCGCTCACATACAAACCGCGCTCGGGGCGTTTCTATGAAGATGACCTACTCATTTGTATTTACTCTGCTTTTACGCTCCACTTCGCACTAGGGGGAAGTCGAAACTAAACTTTGAACTCCTATGTTCTTCTGATTAATTTCGTTGCGGGTCCAATGATTATGACAGTTTAACTTTCCCTCCGAGACAAACTTGACTTTCACTGGTTGGGTTTTTGTTGGCGATCGAGCTGTTGATCCTTGCTACATAGTAGTTGCATTGGCTAAAACGATTGCGCATCGCATTCTCTCGGTTAAGCCTTCATTTCACAGTTTGTTTTGTACGAACAAAATTACTGTTGAACGAGTGTACACGATTATCCTGTTTTGGCTAAGGATTGCGAATGGGAACAGCTTATTTTGTTCTCACAGTTTTCATAAAAAACAAACTACCATTAAAATGGGATCTCCAACTTAGCTTCAGTCGCTGGTTTTCAACAAGCAATGAGGTAACCTTTAGAGCCCTCGATCGTTACGTTTAATTTATGTTTGTGTATAGCGAATACTCGCATAAAATATGTTAGGTCGAATCAAGTATACTATAAATGTGTTTCTAATACCACTTTACCATCTCCAGGTGCAAAAACTCCGATGCACGGATCGCAGACTCCAATCTACGACGCGGGCGGTCGCACGCCTCACTACGGAGCCGCGACGCCTTCGCACGAAGGCTCGCGCACACCGGCTCACGGCGCCTGGGACCCCGCCGCCGCCAACACGCCCGCGCGACCAGACTTCGACTACGGGCTCGACGACGGCTCGCCCGGGCCCGCCTACGAGCCGCCCGCCAGCTACTCGCAGGTAAAGAGGAACGGGACGGGTTACCCCACTGTAGAAATTGGCCGCCTATACATAACAGGGTCGATGAAGCACCTGATGTCGTGCCCTGAGTGCCCGAGCAACTGCACTCTACGCCACTCTTGTGGCGGAGTTTTGGACTGACTGTGTAGGTTGTTTGTTGTCGACACGAAAAGAAGAAAAAGGGCCGATGGAGCAGCAAGGTTTTGGAGTGGCGGCCGCGTACCGGAAAATGTAAAAAATGTATCCACAAGGTGGACCGACGACATCATTAAGGTAGCAGGAAGGCGCTGGACGCAGGCAGCAGCAATGGACGTCCTATGGCTGAAAAGACGATAATGATGACGCAACAGGGAAGATATGCAAGAGATTTCATGCCTACCCTGCGGGGACTGAGAATCCGGGCAAAACATTAAAAAAAATCTGATTTCCTCCTGCGCCAAAATGTCTTAGCTACCTCCTAGCCCAGATGCTGAATACGTTTATTGGTACAATACCCACAGCTTTGCTCCGTTCCCGGACCACAATTTAGCACTGCTCTTTATCTATTTGGCAGGATATTATTGTAAACTAATACTTTATTGTAAATATGTATAATATGTATGTATTTAATAAAAAAAAGAGTAGATAAGTTATACTACTTATTACCGTTAAGCTAGCACCCATAACACAAGCATTGAGTTGCTTACTTTGGGGCTAACTGGCGCTGTGTGAAATTGTCTAAAGATTTATTTATTTTTATTTTATTTATTTTTTATTTATTGCTCTTTCGCAGGCGGGCGGGCCGTTCACGCCGCAGACGCCGGGCACGATGTACGGCTCGGACCACACGTACAGCCCGTACCAGCCGTCGCCGGCCGGCTACCTGGGCACGCCCAGCCCGGCCGGCTACTCGCCGCGCTCGCCCTTCGAGCCCGGCGAGCCACATGCCGGCGAGTGGCACACCACCGAGGTCAGTGTTGCCAGGGATTGGGATTAAAATTGGACTGGGTTGCACAATATTACTTTCTATAATGGCGCAGCTACACCGAGACGAAGCGACGAAGCACGGTGAAATTAACTGAAGTGTGTGTTTACCCTATAATGTGTTGATCAGTTTTCTGCAGAGTGTAAATGCGTCATAACAAACGTCAAAAGTTTGTCAAACTCCATGCAAAAGCACCAGTTAAAATTAAGGTGATGCAACTCAGTCTCAATGTTCAGGAATTTTGATATGGTAATCAAATAGTCAAATGTAAAATAGTGTAAGAATATTTTACGTTTTGTTTGTGTATAAAGTGCAGGGAAACGCTTACCGAATGTTTGGTCGCGTTACGGCCTATGCTAAAACGCGTCTGCATTTTAAAATAGTATGAGCAGCGTAGTGTGATAATAACGTATGTGACGTGTCTCCATACGCACGGCGGGAGGCAGGTGTGCATTAATGCACGCGGCGGATGTCCGCGGAGCGCAAGCCCGCGTCGGACGTCTGGAGCGGGTATCCGCTACTTATCCTCGCAAGTTTTAGCGTGGGCCTTAAACTTCGCACGATATATCGCTTTACAACTCACAAGTCCGTGGTGTACTTGTTTCTAACCCTGTTACGTCCCAGGTGGAGGTGCGGGTGCGCGCGCACGAGGACGCGGCGCTGGCGGGGCAGGCGGGCGTGGTGCGCGGGCTGTCGGCCGGCATGTGCGCCGTGTACCTGCCGCGCGAGGACCGCGTCGTCAACGTGCTCGCCGACCTGCTCGAGCCCTGCGTGCCGCAGAGCGGCGACCGCGTCAAGGTACAACCATCTTCTTCTTGTCGTGTCGACAACAAACCTACAGTAGCGGCGTAAGGGGGGGGCGGTGGGGGCGGTCCGCCCCGGGTGCCAAGCATCAGGGGGTGACAAAAGTCGCGCAATTAGTTCTCACTGACGCATCTGCATGGCAAGGACGGTCGTGATTTCATGACAGGGGGGGTGCCATTCTGGGATGCCTTAGGCTATAATTTATATTANAGTCAAAATCCGGATTTTTTTATAGCCTCAAAATCCGGATTTTTCAGATATTTTCGAATTTCGAATAATCCGGATTGCAATCTCTAGTTTACACATACAATGTCACTATTTTGTTGCAATTTCTTACAAAACTTGCGCGCAAAAAGCAAATCTATTATGTATCTGTAAAATCATCAAACTTCTAACGCTCGTAACTCAGTTCAGATTGAGTTTAGAGGTATACATGTCATAGTAAGTTTGGTTTATTACACTATTTTGTAATCAAAAAACAAGGTTTGGTCGATGGCCGCGCGAAAAAAAAGGCGCCAATTTCCGGCATTGTCTTTTACGTTGTTTGTAACCCTGCCACGTCCCAGGTGGAGGTGCGGGTGCGCGCGCACGAGGACGCGGCGCTGGCGGGGCAGGCGGGCGTGGTGCGCGGGCTGTCGGCCGGCATGTGCGCCGTGTACCTGCCGCGCGAGGACCGCGTCGTCAACGTGCTCGCCGACCTGCTCGAGCCCTGCGTGCCGCAGAGCGGCGACCGCGTCAAGGTACGCCACAACACACGTCACATGCGACACCTGCCGCGCGAGGACCGCGTCGTCAACGTGCTCGCCGACCTGCTCGAGCCCTGCGTGCCGCAGAGCGGCGACCGCGTCAAGGTACGACCATCTTCTTCTTGTCGTGTCGACAACAAACCTACACAGTGTCAGCCCAAAACTCCGCCACAACAGTGGCGTTGTCAGTAGCACTCATCGAATCCTCCTGAGTGCGGTTGCTTGGGCACTCAGGGCATGACATCAGGTGCCTCATCGACTGGGGAACAAAACCGCACCTGCACTCCATGTTCGAGCCATCCAAGAATCCCCACCTGGCCAGATTGTCCTTACCACGGCCAACCTGCGTCCGAAGTCTATTTAAAGACTTCCAGGTAAGCCAGGGTACAATCATAACAGAGTCACACGGCTACCAGCTACATTTGGACACTAGTCTGCTCCGTGAGCACGTAGAATCCCGTCCAATGACCCCAAGCTACCCATCCTTATCGCTCGCGCGTAATTATATTGCTGTCGCGACTGTGCGACGGGCGCCCGCAGTGTGCGCAGAGTGTGCGAGCGCAACAGCAACATAATTACGCGCGAACGATAAAGATGGGTAGCCTGGGGTCATTGAACAAAATTCTATGTGCTCAGAGACCAGGCTTTAGACACCTATAGGCCTAAGATGCGCGATACGCGAGGCGCGTCAAGGTACGCCACAACACACGTCACAAGCAACACCTGCCGCGCGAGGACCGCGTCGTCAACGTGCTCGCCGACCTGCTCGAGCCCTGCGTGCCGCAGAGCGGCGACCGCGTCAAGGTACGCACACATATCGTAGTCGCAGCAGGCGTTATAGGACTACCAGCTACATTATTAAGACACAGTACGGAGTACATGTCTATACACACTTGGCCACAGCCACGGCCCTAGACAACTATCGCATGTCACGTGGTCACGACCCGCAACTATTATACGGGGTGTTAGGTAAATGGGTATAGGAGCCGACACTAGCCCATGTTAACATGGTCATATAAATGGTATAGTGAAGTCAGAAAATTGATATCTTCATTTTAATTATTTACATTTTCATACAAATCGGAATTTATAAAATTTATTTTGTGTGAAAATTAAAAAAATTAAAATAATGATATCAAATTTCTGACTTCACCATACCATTTATATGACCATGTTACATGGGCTAGTGTCGGCTCATATACCCATTTACCTAACACCCTGTATAGGACAAGCAGCTATATTAGGACACAGTACATGACTACACACACTTGGCCACAGCCACGGCCCTAGTAGACAACACTCGCATGTCACGTGGTCCCCGCACGCAACCATAGTAGAGTGACGTCACATCCACGCTCTGGTACGGAGGCGTGGAGAGAGTCGCATTCCAGCGAGGTGCGCACTGCGCAGTTAGCTAGTTGCACAGTAGGACACAGTCTATGTCTATACACACACTCAACATGCGTTACAAGATTACCAGCTACATTGCGATAGTTACGGTCATAGGTCAACCACGGTTACAAACATGCAACTGCACCAAACGATATGGTTACCAGCTATATTTATATTATCTGCGAGCACTGACAATCTGGCTCAAGATATTTACTGATGCCTGCAAGCTATATCAAGCAGATCATATGGTATTTGACACCAGTCGATTGACTTCTTATGAACTGTCAAAACACGATCTTCTCGTTGATTGACGTCACTAATTTCACCAAATCTACTGACAAACTTTTTAATAATTTTAGGCATGTATTTAAATGATCTTTTTAAATTAGCAAAAACGGCAATTAAAAAAATCTAAATGGTCATCTATTTTAATGATTGATCCTCTTTCTTTGAGACATNTTGACGAAGCGTTTGTATGAAGACTATCCATCTAGGTTTTATTAATCTAAGATTGTACCACATTATCTCGGTGAATAAATAATCTTTGAATCTTTGAACATAGGCCTCCCCCAATGATTTCCATGTTGATCGATCGGTAGCGACCAGCGTCAAGCGCTGCTATCTTTATGATGTCGTCGGTTCACCTTGTGGGTGGTGTTAGTAGAGTTTTCCGGTACGCAGATTTAACTGGATCAGATTCTTATACCTAATTATCTTATTTGTTTGAATGGGTGACTGAATTGAATGTGTGGTCACCAATTTTAGAGCACTTGTGTACACTTTGACATAATTGCGGTTTAATTGCCTTAAGATTATTATTTTTAAAACCTGAGATACCTTCTAGGGCGCTCTGGCAGGCCTACACTCTACACTCTATAATAGTTTAAGCCCTAAGCGAACGATTTATAAAATAGTTTTTCTACTTTTTGTTCACATGCATGGTGGAGAGATCCACAACCTGTACGAGTATACTTATTATGTTTTTCTTGATTCCAGCTCAGACATAAAAGAGATAGCCAAACGCCTCTACAAGAAGGAGGTGCTGATCACAGAAGAGGTCCGTGAGCAATTGGAACAGTGTCTGGATACCCTCAAGAAGAGGATCGAGCACGAGGGCCCGACTGGCAAGCGGTTCTACATCTACAAGACCTTGCAGACCCATGTCCTGCCACTCACCAATGTGGCTTTTGATAAAACTGGCAATAGGTATATTAGCAGAGTATTACCAATATTAATAGGTGGTAGATAGAGTAGATACTTACCCACAAGAAGAGGATCGAGCACGAGGCCTGACTGGCAAGCGATTCTATATCTACAAGACGCTTCAGACCCATATCCTGCCTCTCACTAACGCGGCCTTTGATAAACAGGCAACAGGGAATTTAATAACAATAACAATGTCAGTTCCCTCAAGAAGGAGATCGGGCGGGGCACATAGCTCGTAGAGCTGATGGCCGTTGAGGCAGAAAAGTTCTCGAGTGACGACCACGGGCCGGAAAACGTAGTGGCAGGCCCCCACTAGGTGGACCGACGATCTGGTGAAGGTCGCTGGATGAACCTGGATGCGGGCGGTGCTGGACCGGTCGTTATGGAAATCCTTGGGGGAGGCCTTTGTCCAGTAGTGGACGTCATTTAGCTACGAATTCAGGAACGAACGAAGGAATTACTTAATAGTAAGGTTGTGTTCACAGATGTTTGTCGGGAAGTTACGACAGGACATGCAAGGTCTGGGATGTGGACACCGGCAAGGAACTGAAGACCTTGGCTGGCCACCAGAACGTGGTGTACTCTGTTGCCTTTAACTTTCCCACCTGGTAAGAGTTTGTTTTTTCTTCACAAGAAAATAACATTTAAACTGCACAGTTAGAATGAAGTCTCGTCATTGAACATAAAATAATAATCTAACTAATTGATTTTGGATAACCAAAAAATTTTTCAGTGGAACATTATCGCAAAAACAACATGACAGAATATCTACAAAACAACAGTTTATGTACTTAACGTCAATCACGTTTAAATGTATTACGAGGTTTTCCAGTGCGATTCGTAGTCGATAAGTAGTACTTACACACCAGTAGACCTTGGCAATTTTCTAAATGACATCATAAAAAATCCTCTTCTTCTGAAAAAATTGGTATTGAAATGTTTTACAAAATGCATTTTATTTTGCAACTAGACATTATAGTTTCTTTCTCACTAGGGGGGCAGTTCGCTGTAAATATTAATCATCTACTTAATTTGTTATTAAAATTGCGAAAGACATTTGACGCAGGCTACAAAAATTCACAAAGTTTAAATATTAAACTGAACAGAGACCCAACATTGGATACTAATTGAAAACAATGGTTTTGAGTCATCTTCATTGTTTTTGTAAGGCGACGCGTCAGTATTGTCTGACATTACAAAGCTTTTGTATTCAGTTATTAGAAAAAATAATATTTTACAAATGCACAAAAGTAATTACCAACCTAAACCAAAACTAGCTTGCAGTTTCAGTATCTTCTGTAAGATGATGGATTTTATCACTTACCTTACTTATCAAATCATCACCAGCACCATCATTCTTCACTCCTTTCATCACCAGCGACCGCGTCATCACCGGTTCGTTCGACAAGTCGGCCCGCGTATGGGACCCGTCCACGGGAGAGTGCCTGGCCACTCTATGGGGCCACCGCGGCGAGGTGGTGGCGGCCCAGTTCAGCGCCAAGGGAGACTTCGCAGCCACTGGCTCAATGGACCATACGGCCAAGCTGTATGATGTTAGAACAGGTGAGATTGGACTATGCCATGGATATACTGGTTAAGAAGAAAAAAGGTGGTTGGAATACGATCAAAAAAGTGGTCTATTCCACTTTGATCACCTAGGTGATCTTATCCATGGGTGATCAAAGAACACCAAAGTGTTGCTCATAGTCCACTATGATCACCTGGGTGATCAAGTGGAATAGACCAAAAACGTTTGAGTTTTATCACACCACGGGCACGGTTGGTATTAAAAGTCCCTTCTACTCATATCTCTGGGTCTGGAATCAGAATTGTTGTTAGGCTTAGAAGTTATCTACCCATAGAGTACAAAAATCATAAAATAAAAAATAATAATTTCAAAAACGTCCTTATTTTGTTGTAGGGGCTGAAATTCACAACTACACTGGTCATACGGCGGAGGTGATCGCGTTGCAGTTTGACCCCAACGAAGGCCAACGCCTCATCACAGGCTCCTTCGATGGCACCATCTCAATGTGGGACACCAGGGTCAAGGAGTAAGTAGTCATCAAAAATATCCTTTTTGTTTAACTCAAACAATATCAAAGAAAATAGAATCTCTTGCATTACTATGTGCGCAATGTTTCATACTGAAGAAATTTTGCTATAATACTTTTACTAGGCGGTGTTGTTGATTCCTGGGAAATTAATATTTGGTTAAATAAAAAACTTTGGTTTCACCAGCGTTATGACAAAAAGAACCATAACTAGACATAAATCATCTTGGAGTGTCGCATCGGGAGGAAGAAGGACTTGCGTGACACAAATTGTTCAGTCTTTATAAAAAACAACGATTTGAGCAGGAAATTTTCATTCAACTAATATGACGATGACGCTATGCTCGGAGTCACTGAGACAGACGAATGTAGGCGTCCACCTACTTCAATCAGAATAAAGACCTCCAGACTGCATTTTGGGTGCATTTGCATAAATTCGTATTTAAATGCATAGACACAAGTTGTTTCTTGTTAGTTAAGCATGTAGCTGTTCTTACGCCTCATCTTGAATATTTCCATTGAACATGAATGATGCAGATTGTAATTGGATTCATACAAAATTACACCAATTTGTAGTAAACGGCACATAACATGTTGCACCAAAATGCCTGTAGAATGCTGTATGTAGATAATGTAACATTTTCTATCGATTAATCGAAATAAGATAAGTTACACTGACACGACAGTACTACCGCGTTCGGAAGTAATTTCATACAAAAAACAAAAAGTATTAAAGCCTGGTTTCCACCAAGGCAAAGCGGAGTGAAGACGAAAGGTTGCTTTGAATAACCAATCAGATTTCCTGGTTTCCTGAATAAAGAAATCTGGCTCTCCATTCCACCTGGGTGGGGAAGCCGGGCCTAACTATCGGATTCTAAAACGTCTTAACTAATGCTACTAATTGACTGTGGTTTTCCAGCCGTGTATCAGTGCTGCAAGGCCATGACGGCGAGATCTCGAGCGTGCAGTTTAACTGGGACAGCTCGCTTGTAGGCTCGGCGTCCCTGGACGGCAGCGCCAAGCTGTGGGACGCGCGCAGCACCGCCTGCCTGGCCACTGTGGCGGGACACACAGATGAGGTCGGTGCCTGGTATCAACACTAGTCCTGTCAATAAACTTAGTGTTGACTAGACTTTAGATGCTGTAGATCCTGGCTACAAAGGTGTTGCTACGATGGGAACGAGAGGTGGGACTAGTCCCGTAGGCTAAAGATTCTTGTAGATCTCATTTATATGCACAGTGCACACTCAATAGGTGTTAAGTTTAAAATAGTTGCTGAAAACTTCAGACCATGATAATATAAGAAGATTTCACGTAACTGGAGGACTTCACCAATGATACACGGACTCCTGAAGTAATCTACCTCAAGTCAAGTTATGACAGCTTAAACATTAAGTAGGATATTTCTATTCTTTGGAATATCTAAATATATTTGAGCGATCGCCAAAGCTCCACGGTCGGTTCGAGAAGTCTGCCATTGGAATACCAGCCCTTATTTATTTTTACTTAATCATCCTTAATGTTCTCGTGACCAGGTCCTCGACATCTGCTTCGACTGGGCCGGGCAGAGGATGGCCACGTCTTCCAGCGACTGCTCGGCGCGCATCTACGACGTGCGCTCCGACTTCAAGGAGCTCGCCGTCATGAAGGGCCATAGGGAGGAGGTGTCCAAGGTCAGACTATATTTTGGACGTCGTCGTCTCGTTCTTATCGCATTGTCCAGTTTGTCCTACTGGAAAATGGAACGAAATGACGTTCCTGCAGTAGAAGAGCAGCGCAACGAGAGGGTGGTACAATCAGGCCAGGATTTTAGCCAAACCACTTGTGACGTACTCGTATTTCTGTGCGTACTAAAATTTATTTAAAATAGGTACTTTTCATCCGATAAACATAATTATGGTGCAGGTCGCTTCTAATTCATATGTTCTACTATGTTTTCTGCCTGAAATTAAAACAAATTAGGTACGTATGACTTAGATAAGATTGATAACTGACTTAACTGCCACTTACTTGCTCTGTTCCATTCAGGTGTGCTTCAGCCCGGCTGGAGGTTGCCTGCTGACGGCGTCTGCCGACCGCTCCGCCAGGGTCTGGAATACCAACACGGGCAACTGTATACAGGTACTTAATAGTTTTTAAATTTAATCTGTACCAGCCTTGAGTTGCATCTGTCTATATCAGCCTTTAGGGAGTTCGCCTTCGAATGGCAAACGAAGAGGAGGCCTATCCTCTGCAACCCTCCACCGACTTCTGTCCCTGGCCACTTGCATCCAGTTTACTCCAGGCTGCTGCCGGATGTCGTCTGTCCACCGTTTAGGCGGTCTTCCCCTGCCGCGGGTGTTGTTTCGGGGTCTTCGCTCCCGGGTCTTTCTGGCCCAGCGATCTTGGGATAAGAGTTGCATATCAAACTAAATTATAAATAACTTGAAAAAATCCAACTGCCTAAGGCGGGAATCGAACCCATGGCCTCAATAGTTTGTTGTCATATTCATTAGTATGGCGAACAAATTCATTCATTCAGTACCTATATTATTTTTTGCATTAAAAAGATAAGCATGTAAAACCTCAATAAATCATGCAAAATACTAATCAAATTCCTTGTTTTAATTAGCTTAATATTATGTAGATATTGCAAGTAAATTATTCAACACAATATTATTTGCATAGTAATTAGTCACTGACTCATTTCAACTTTGTTACAGCGAATGTAATGATTCACTACGCGACACCGTTTCGTGGATCCGATACAGTTTTCTTTCATTTCCCAATTACCTACTAATTCCATTTCACAAAGAACATCTGTATTTATTATTTTACTTGTGTTTTCTTTGTTCATCATCGTTTGAATCATTTCGTCTTCGAGTATTTGTGTTTTGGCGCGACTTTTTTCTTTAATTTTTTTCGTCATTGATATATTGACTCAGCGACTTCCTTTACGCGGATTGCTAGAATGCCAATGAGGGCTATCGTTTTTATACTTAACAGTTGGCACCCCTGGCGATTGACAGGACATGTGACATTACTCTACAGTGGCGCCATCTTGATGAGTGCAATTGCGATAGTCCTCCTACCACTTTAGCGCTCACCAGTTGGTGCCACTGTCTTCGCTACTAGCAAGTGACAGGACCTTATTCTACAGTGGCGCTAACTGGTGAGCGCTAAAACGATAGCCCTCATTGTATGCACGCGCATAGGCCAAGATCATAGACAATGTAGCCTAGCATTCCGCGTAGTGCAGTCTCAACTCTCAACCTCATTTTAAAACATTCCTAGCAAAGAAAGCGACCTCTGGTGGACTGAAGGATTCTCCTCATTTTATTAGGGTTTTTTCATGAAGATCTAATCATGCATTTGCCTCTAGTTTAGTGGAGACTAAATGACCATCATCTGAAGATGATATTTTCAGGACCTAATGATGATTTCTTTGTAGGTTCTCTCTGGTCACCAAGGGGAGATCTTCTCGTGTGCCTACTCGTACGCTGGAGACGCCATCATCACAGCCTCCAAAGACAACACCTGCAGGATCTGGAGATGATTCGACTGGTGGCTGTAGGCGCAGCCACTGGGACTTCTTACAACTTTCTATTTTATTATTCTTTTGGAGATCTGGTAACTGAGAATTTTCCTGCAATAATGTAGCAATGTTTTACATGAGGAACGAATATGTTTTAAACTTTATTTGAGAAACACATGAAAAAAAAGGAAAAATGTGTAATGAAATTAAAAATAATGCGGAAAGAGAATCACGAAGTAATCATTTCAATCTTATTTTTTGTAAGTCTGAAAACTTGATACACTTTTCTTGCATAGTTTTTTCACGTAGATAGCTTACGTAGCTTTCTCATACGATACATAAATTAGGTATACTAGTATAATATTTAGCTAGCTCTTTCCCTTAGTATTGTTAGTCGAAGAAAACTTATGTCGCGGTAGCTAAATCCATTTACTAAAATGAAAGTTGAAAGGTAACACCGCGGATCACACACCGCGTAAAATTGGAACAGTCTTATCTTTGAAGTCTTATCGATCTTAGCTTTTATATTATATCAATGTTTCGAAACTAATGTATACCGACTTATCGCATTAACAAACAACAATAATTTTACTTACTTACTGCAAAGATAAGTAACTTTCTGAATGAGTTCCCAATAAACTTACTTATTGGAATCATGAATAATGTACACCTAAAATAATTCATTGTATTTCTATAGTTTATGTATTACAAGTTATGTAATTAAATTATTTCTAAAGAATAAAGAAGCACTACGATATTTAATGTTGTTGATCAATAATTGACATGATAATAGAGTATACTAAAATGCACTGTTTCTCAATGCATTGTTTAGTGATAAAGAGGGTAATAAATCATTTTTTACGATGACATACTTTTTCATTAACTCCTTTTGAACAATTCACTTAAGTACTTACGTAGCCGTTTCTACCTAAGTAGGGAATTTAACGTCGCAGATTTGCTAAATATGCAGGGTGCTTCCATCATATTTAAAAACAATTTCACATTCACAAATAAACTTTCCAACTAGGGGAAGTCACAACAACAAGACGAGATAAAAAAATGATCTCTGACCCACAAAAACTGACTAAAGTGATTTATTGGCCATTTACTTCAATCACAAATGGCTGCCACTAAAATGTAACCAGATTATCTGTATTTTCTCAGCCGAGTAAATTGAGCGGCAATCGTCGACAATATCAACAAGTGTAAACAAAGAGTCATCGCTAACGGGAGCATCCTGCCGGGACGGGGGTCAAATGAGACCCGATAAGCCGCACACTCGCAGACACTAGTGTTGGAAGTGTTACATAATAGTGCAATGTGACGCTCGAGTTATTTGAGAAGTCTGACGCCCGTATTCACAAACGATGCTTGCTTAAGTGAAGCAGCAAATCGAACGCACAGCGTTGAATAGAGGTGTGTGTCACCCTTTGCGTCCACATGCACTGTGAGACCTCATAGTAATGTTTGTGAATACGGGCGTGAATCAGTTTGGCGCTGTCAATCGAGAAATCATCACACATTTGATCACGAACCATCGCTAGAAATGCATCCTTTCAAAACGAAACACGCTTTAATGGTGTTTATAATGAACCCTATGGCAGACGTAGAGCTACCGAAACCGTAGAGGTAACAATTAGAGAGGTTGTTACTATGGTTTTTATTTTCATAGTCCTTTTCAGAACACACCAAAGATGAAAATGGTGGGAAAATCCGTTTCTACGGATTACTTCTGTAATCCAGTAATTTTCATCTTAGATCTCGCTCTGAAAACACTGTTTAAAGTGTTGCTAACCCTTTGCAGAAGTGCCCTTTGTAAAACAAGTGCTACAATGTTACAGAAATAATTTTCCTCTAAACACTTATAAGGAATAATAATTTATAAATCAAAACAAATATTTAAGGAAAATAGGTACGTCAATTTAATGTTTTATCAAGTAAGTAACACTTCTGTTACGGAGCGTACGTAAACATTACATATGTGCACATTCCCGCTCAAATGGATGGTCAGCTCATTAGCACTGCGAACTCCTTGCAGAGCGGTTGTGTTCACAGTTACTAGTTAGTTAATACCAGTGATAATGATGCCAAAGTTATTAATTGTAACTCTAGTTGTAGCGCTAGCGAAGTCAGAGTACAAGTATGAGACGAAATATTTTAAAGTGCCGTTGGACCACTTCGGCTACCAGAGAAGCGAGGAGTTCCAGATCAAGTATCTGGTGAATGACGATTACTGGAACACTAATAATGGACCTATATTCTTCTACACCGGGAATGAGGTAAGACAACGGTTCTTCTTCTTCTTTTACATGTGTTATTTAAAATTGTGCATAAAAATAGTAGCGTTTCATTTGCTCATTGCAATCCGTCTACAACATGGTCATAATGATAACTCATAGTCTTACATTGAAATCATCATCAGCTCAAAAGGAAGAAGTATCATGTGTACAATTGGCAAGACTTGTTATAGCATGGGTAGGTCTTAAGTAAGTAGGTAGAGTCAAAAGTTTGTAAAGTAACAGCAGCATTATTGACAATATTCTAATTCCGTGAATGCTTTCGATAAAAAATCTATTATGACTATGATATGGGTATTCCCAAGATTGTTACATTCGAAGCTGCTGGCTAATCTACTTATTACTAGTAGGTATTACGAAACTAATAGGGGTTAGGTCAAGGTCTCATTTTCTCAGATTAATAGCATTATCGCGTTTCGCAATACATCAAATTCCTCATTACTTATGATTACTCATTAATTTTATCTTCTACTAGTAATAATAATGTGTCTAAGTTCAAGTGAACTTTGTATGTTGAATCAAGTAGTGTACTTAACGTACTTAAGTATTGTGGTTCGCATTCTTGACATGTGATCTTAAATGGCTCAAATATCAGTAACTGCTATTAAAGTTAATTATTTATGTACCCATTGTATGTATTTACCTACTATTACATAAGTTACGCACTTTTATAAATATTTAAATAAAGAAGTTCGTCATTGCTTGATAACTTTAGCTGTGAACCATGTTATTTCGCGTTTTAATTGATAAAAAATTATCATTAATTTAGAAGATTTTCTCGTCAGTATATTTATAGAAAAGAACAGTTAAGAGTGAACTGATTAGAAAAGTTGAATGACCGAAATGTAATTGGTTATTGACCTCACAAAAAAAATATAGAGTTGCGAACTTTAATTTAGGTACTTTGAGCCAATTTCAAACCTCTGAAAAAAATGTTGAAGAAAGATTACAGTCAAGTGGGTGGAGGTCGATAAAGATTCTATTCTCTATGATTTTCATAAGTTTCCACGGCTTTCTTGGTTATTTAATGAAAATGTAGAGTTATTTTTAAGGTACATTACCTACATTCCTTTGACGATTTTGTGGTCATTAATGATGAGTCTAATAAAACAGTTGGCAATTTTAATCAATTCCCATCCTGAAATCTGAACAAAATGTTTCAGGGTCAAATCGAAGTATTCGCCCAACACACGGGCTTCATGTGGGAGATCGCGCAGGAGTTCAACGCGAAGATTGTATTTGCAGAACACAGGTTAGTTCTATTGTAGGAATCATACTACTTTTTGTATACCAAAAGAAAAGTAAAACATTTAAAAGGCTGCCTTTTCCTATAGTGGGTGACTTGACGCTCAGGTAGGGGGTGGAAATTGCAATTTTCCACTCACTCTCTCCTACTGGAACTACCTCATATTTTTCCATTTTAACTTTGAATCATTACAGATAGGTATTGAATTATCGCATAAAAGATTCCTATCCCGTAAGGAACATTTTAACAAAATACTATAATAGACTTAATTCTGTCAGTGTCTGAGATATGGGAGGGGCACGGAGGGGTGTCATTAACATAATATGACGTGATAGAGCATATAAATCTGAAGAAAATCTGAAGCATCGCTGAAATTTTGACATTTTTGACGTTACAAAAACATCCACAATCCCGTGCCGCTCCCATAGCTCCGGCATCGACTGAGTTAGATAAGTACTAGACCAGTAGTAATGAAACAGATCAAAAATGGACGCTTGCTTACTTTGAAACCTCGACAGCTGGCAATTGTTTCCCGAGCCTTTCAGCCACCTTCCTTCCAGTCATCATCCACACCTTGACTCAAACTTCCAGGTACTACGGCACGTCGATGCCGTTCGGCAACAAGTCTCTGGACAAGGAACACGTCGGCTACCTGACGTCTGCGCAGGCGCTGGCCGACTACGCCGACCTCCTCGACCATCTGCAAGACCACGCGGTCAAGCCCAAGTACCCGGTCATTGCTTTTGGAGGTATCAGAACAGTTTGAAATATTGCGGATTACCTGCAGCACTAAAGCTAAAGCTTCAAGCACACCAACGCGTGCAGATCGCCATCGCGCGGACTGTCATGGCGCATGGGTCGCGCGACCTGTCATTGGCCTATGATCGCTCCTGCAATGGCAATCTGCACGCGTTGGTGTGGTTAAAGCATTAGAACTGGGCCCCGATTACGGTAATTTTTAACGTCTCCAATCCAGACGCGCTTCATCGATTCTGCGATACGATTGGTCAAAAAAGCTGACGTACGCTGTTTTGATCATTACGCTGACCAATCGTATCGCAGAATCGATGAAGCGCGTCTGGATTGGAGACGTTAAACATTACCGTAATCGGGGCTCTGCTGTGTTGAACTACGATTATAACTCTGAGCTTCATGCACACCAGGTTTTTTTCAGGCACCATTGATGCTCGTTTTACGATCGCTTACACGGAGCACTCCATTTGCATGAAATTCACGTCGACTGTACCTTAAAAAAACGTACGCTATGCACGAGTATACCATTTCTTTTTGGCTATAATCATTTAAAAGCTGACGGCGCTAAGAACGTAAATAGTTAGTAAACCTAGAGTTATGAAGGTAAACGAGTATGAGATGTTTGGACCAAAAGTTAAGACTGGAAGAAAATGTCATCACATTAAGTTGACCTTTTGTACCATACATGTTGCGCTATCAAGTTTTAAATTATCTTGACATAAGCTGTCTGTTGCTGCACCAAAATGTTTAGCTCTACATTTTATTTAAAAAAATTGGCGATTAGTATTATACTTAAGCACCCTTCCTCTTGATTCAATCTACCTATTAAAAAACAGCATCAAAATCCGTTGCGTAGTTTTAAAGATCTAACCATACATACGCCCGTATTCACAAACATTACTACGAGGTCTCGCAGTGCGCGTGGATGCACAGGGTGACACACGAACCAATCACAGAGCTCTATTAAACACTGTGCGTTCGATTTGCTGCTTCACTTAAGCATGCATCGTTTGTGAATAGGGGCAATAGAGATAGACAGACAGGAAAGCGACTGTTTTATAAATGTAAGTAGTGATGATGCAATCCTCTCCAGGCTCGTACGGCGGCATGCTGGCTGCCTACTTCCGCATGAAGTACCCTCACCTGGTGTCGGGCGCCATCGCGGCGTCGGCGCCGGTGCACATGTATCCTGGCATGGCGCCCTGCGACGCCTACTTCCGCATCGTCACCTCCAGCTTCGCGCTCGAGGGGCAGAGCTGTAGGGACAATATCAAGCGCTCCTGGAAGGTCTTGAGGTAAGGACACGAGCTGGTTACCTTGGCTCATCCTCCAACCGCCTCTGTGGTCTAGTGGTAAGACCACTTGCTTCAGACGCAGAGGTCCCGGGTTCGATTCCCAGTGGGGGCTGATTTTTCTGTTCGATTTGGTTGGTGGTGGGGCTTGTTCTAAGTCCGCCTGCCTATCTACCACCTTCTTACCTAAGTCTGTCGTTGTTAACAATGTTAACAGCATTGTTGTGTTCCGGCAGTTAGAGGTAAGATAGCCAGTTCCTCCGTGGTTGAGGATTCCGGGTGAAGCTCGCTTCCACCTTCGGTCTGATCGTCACTTACCATCAGGTGAGATACAGGCCAAGAGATTCCTCGTTGTGGATAAAAAAAAGCTCGTATAATGCCATGCTGGCTGCGTACTTCCGCATGAAGTACCCTCACCTGGTGTCGGGCGCCATCGCGGCGTCGGCGCCGGTGCACATGTATCCTGGCATGGCGCCCTGCGACGCCTACTTCCGCATCGTCACCTCCAGCTTCGCGCTCGAGGGGCAGAGCTGTAGGGACAACATCAAGCGGTCCTGGAAGGTCTTGAGGTAAGGACACGAACTAGTTACCTTGCGTTCCTCTCCAGGCTCATACGGCGGCATGCTGGCCGTATACTCCGCATGCTGTAGGGACAATATCAAGCGGTCTTGGAAGGTCTTGAGGTAAGAGATTACATATGAACCATCTTAGGACTTCAACGTGCTAAGGCATAAGCAACAGACATGAGTGTTCATTACGCCTGGCAGTTGTGCATGCTAAATAATTATAGGCGTCAGGTGCGTTACGTAAGATTTTCTTGTTTTTAAAAAACATCATACACACATAATACGCTAAACGACTGATCATGGTACGTGCAATGAAGATCGCCTCGCCTCCAATGAAATAATGAGTGGATGTTGATGATGATGACTCCTGTAACTTAGGCGGAAGCGCCTGCCTGCACGCCTAAACTGACTCTAGTTGGCTTTTTTAGTATTCCTAAAGTACTAGCAAAGACTAGCTACATTAGGCTCGAATTAAGCTAATACAATAACCCTCCTTCTGGATTCCAAAAAACCCTCCTTCTGGCGCAGTCGGGTAAAAATACAATAATCCCGTTCCAGAAACTTCGCCACATCAGCCAACAACACCGCCTGGTTGAAATCCAAATGGAACCTCTGCGACCCCGTCAAGAACGCCACCGACGTGCAGCAGCTGGTAGACTTCCTACAGTCCATGTACGAGACGCTGGCCATGGTGAACTACCCGTTCGAGTCGGACTTCCTCGTGCCACTGCCCGCCTACCCAGTCAGGGTGGTGTGCCAGTACTTGAACGAGACATTCACTAATAACACGGTGCTGCTAGAGGTAAGATCGTCATACCGTTGCAGCCAAATGACGTTCACTGCTGGACAAGGCCTCCTCCAAGGATTTCCACTAAGACTGGTCTTGCGCTGCCCGCATCCAGGTTCTTCCCGCGACCTTCACTGGATCACCGGTTCACCTAGTGGGAGAACTGCTCACACTACGCCTTCCATATCCTTACCTATTTCTCATGAAAAACCCGTAACTAAGTATTTCTATTTCGAGATATTTTTCAAAGTAAAAATACATGAAGGTGCTTCACTTACATACTTACCGATTATAACTATCTGTAACTTTATGTTTTGACACGTCCTATTTTATTTCTACAGCAAATCGGAAAGGTGCTGGACACGTTCACCAACTACGACAAGAAATCAAAATGCGTGGACTACAAGAAAGGAAGCGACTACGGAAACTTGGACGCGTCCGGTTGGGATTATCAGGTATATGCCTGTCTCTACTTAGCTGTAAAATGACTCTATAATTTGGGAGCTTTATCTTTGATTTATCATCTTAATTAATCCGACAAGTTCATCTAAAAATCATCAACAAACGTCATGAAGTTTTCCAAAAAGTACTAAGTATCATAAAGTAGCTATCTTTCGTCCACCAGGCATGCACAGAGATGGTGATGCCAATGTGCACCAACGGGCAGTACGACATGTTCGAGGTTGAGCCGTGGAACTTCACGCGGTTCTCGGAGGACTGCCACGCCAAGTTCGGGGTCTACCCTCAGCCTGACGCCGCCAGGATCGCGTATGGCGGCGACAGACTCGCGGCCGCTTCTAACATCGTGTTTAGCAATGGGCTACTGGACCCATGGACTGCAGGTCTGTATTCCCCACCTTTTTGTTGATGAAAGTTCATATTTTTCAAAACATGTTAGGTACGTTTTCTAGTCGGGATTCAGAAACAATACAACATCTATCAACTCGTGGACGGTTGGACAGATTGGCACCCTGGAATAACATACAGGCTACTTTTTACCCAACTACCCAAAAAAGGAGGGTAATGTTATTAGTCTAATAAACTACGGATAGCCCGCGACGTTAGGACCATTTCAATGACAACAATCATTGTCAGTAGAGGCGCGCGCACGGGTGACTTTTTGTCACCGTGACAGTAGGTAATCTTTCTCTTTTACACTTTTGTAAACAGAAAAAGAGAGACTACATTTCGTTAGTAAATACAACTGCCGCGGTAACAAAAATCACCCACGCACCCATTGAGCGCACGCTCTTTAGCTTTAAGAAATTCGCCGAGCATTTCGAGCACCTAGTGTTTTATTATAAATGATGGTTAAACCTCTATTTCGTCTCAGGTGGTATCCTCAACACGGTAAGCGAGTCGGTGGAAGCCGTGGTGATCCTGAACGGGGCGCACCACCTCGACCTGATGCCGAGCCATCCCAGCGACCCGTCGACCGTCGTGTATGCGCGCGACTTCCACAAGCACAGGATCCATAAGTGGATCAGGCAGTTTAGGAAAATGAACTAGAGTTAGCTGTTTAGTTTTAGTTTAGATAAATAAATGAATAAGGATTTTTTATTTTTATGATTTTTTTGTTTTTAATCCCCTGTTTGACACCATGGCATGTAGAATTTGTAGGACAAGAATTACGGTATATTATTGTCTAATGCAGATATAATTTTAGTTACATCGTGTGCAGTTTCACAAACGGTATGGGCGTTCTAAATAAACGTTATTTCACTGTTGAAATACTTAACCGTCGTGATTTTTTTATCGACAACATCTCAGATGATGGAAAATGATGATCAGGCCGAAGGTGGAAGCAAGCTTCGCTTAGAATCGTCAACCACAAAAAGAACTATGTGCGTTCCCTTCGAGAGGCCACTGTGGAAAACGAAGGTTTCGTATACATAAATATTTAGCAGAACCTCTAAAACAAATGTAGCCAGAATGATAAATTTGTAGGTGTTGTAAGTTGGACGCTACAANTTTCTGACAATGTCCTTTATTGCTGTATTTACCAGGATACCTAGGAACTTTCCTATAAAGCTTAATCCTGAAGTTAATATCCTAAATTGACCCTGCTAGAATCGAACCTAGGGCCCACTCGCTCAAAGCTATTGGCGTGCCATGTTTTTTTTTTTTTTTCTTCTTTATGGCTCTCGCGGATTGCGTTTAGCCACGACGGGGTTCTTGATGTGGTTCTTGACAAAGATTGTTCTTGACTTTTGCGTTTGGTTTTTCGGACATTGCGTTTTGCNTCCGCCACAAGAGTGGCGTTGTCAGTAGCACTCATCGAATCCTCCTGAGTGCGGTTGCTTGGGCACTCAGGGCATGACATCAGGTGCCTCATCGACTGGGGAACAAAACCGCACCTGCACTCCATGTTCGAGCCATCCAAGAATCCCCACCTGGCCAGATTGTCCTTACTACGGCCAACCTGCGTCCGAAGTCTATTTAAAGACTTCCAGGTAAGCCAGGGTACAACCATAACAGAGAGAGCTACATTTGGACACTAGTCTGCTCCGTGAGCACGTAGAATCCCGTCCAATGACCCCAAGCTACCCATCCTTATCGCTCGCGCGTAATTATATTGCTGTCGCGACTGTGCGACGCGCGCCCGCAGTGAGTGTGCGAGCGCGACAGAAACATAATTACGTGCGAGCGACAAGGATGGGCAGCTTGGGGTCATTGGACGGGATTCTACGTGCTCACGGACCAGGCTTTACATGTGTACACACACGGCCTTAGACTACACTCGCATGTCACGTGGTCCCCGCACGCAACCATAGTAGAGTGACGTCACATCCACGCTCTGGTACGGAGGCGGGGAGGTGCGAGAGAGTCGCATTCCAGCGAGGTGCGCACTGCGCAGTTAGCTAGTTGCACAGTAGGACACCTGCAGTACAGTCTATGTCTATACACACGTTAAACATGCGTTACAGGATTACCAGCTACATTGCGATAGTTACGGTCATAGGTCAACCACGATTACAAACACGCAACTGCACCAAACGATATGTTTACCAGTTATATTTATATTGTCTCCGAGCACTGACAATCTGACTCAAGATATTTACTGATGCCTCCAAGCTATATCAAGCAGATCATATGGTATTTGACACCAGTCGATTGACTTCTTTTATGGTGAAATCAGAAGAAACACGATCTTCTGATTTCACCATAAAAGTAGATGACGTGACTAATTTCACCAAATCAACTGACAAACTTTAAACATTTTAAAGCAACCAAAACTAATAGAGTGTCTTCATCGCAGGTGATAGCAGGCGAGGACCGCGAGGCAGTGGGGCAGCTGATCTCGATCGAGAACCAGGAAGGCGTGGTGAAGTTCGGCACCGACGACATCAAGATCATGCAGCTTCGTCACCTCTGCAAGATGAGCTCGGCCTAACGCGCGCCTCGCCTCAAGCAGGACGAGCCTCCGCAGGTTGAACGCAAAGTCTTATGACGCGCCACAGGGGGCTACTTCCAAACGTTCCAAACTTCGTTTCGAGTCTATCTGCCATCTTCGCTCGTGCTGGCATCTCGCTTTGCGTGAGAGGGATGGCAACATTCGAAACTTCGGATAACGTTTTTCGGAGTAACCCCGCAGCAAGTAACCGCACCCACGGGTTAGTAATAACGTCATGATTCTTTAGTAGATTTGAGGTACTTCTAAGAAGATGTTGAACTTTGAAGTAACTTGACCGTTTAATAATGCGGCGTATGTTGCATTAAGGTGAACGCACGCCTAATGCTCCAGACGTCGAATTTTTGTGTTATTCTAATTTTAGTTTTCTAACTTAAGGCGAGATAATAGGGCAAGTGTGCGTTCACCCCCTGATCTGTGGTTTAGCTATGAAATTGTGATACCATAAACAATATAACTCAACTTACACTTAAGTTTTCTGTTGACAATGAATATCTATAAAATACAAGTTTGGCAAACTATGCAAGTTTTGCCAATTATCCTTAAACTTCCATAAGTGACATTGGTGCATCATTGCAACAATATCTGGTAGTAAAACAGCCCTTGTGATGATGGTAATTTAAAGTTGACTTACTCAAAAAATGAAGCAAAAGTGCATGGGTACGCTCCATGATTAGATATTGAACTTCTAAGTTTATTAGATCCAACCTCGTTGTTTGAAAAATAATGTCGGGCACATTATTGAGAATCTATTTTGCATGTTTTATACTGCCACCAAAAATCCAGATACAAATATGTTAAAAAAATTCTAGCATTCATCTTAGTTAATTATTTCTTTCTTTTCTATGTTACATGCTTATTAGCTAGTCTTTCTTTGACATAGAACTGATTTCAATTAGTCCTTTATCTTCAATTGTGCGCGAATGTGGGAAAACTTATTATTTAAGTAAATAAATATTATGTTTTGCGGAAATGAGTAAAGTAAAGCGTGTAAGTTGACGAACTCAAAGAATACATAAATATTTTCATACAGTATTTATTTATTAAACAATAAAATACCGTACCAAATACAGAAATACATACATGAGACATGATTAAGTATGTTATATAAACAGATATCTGTTTATATCTATTTAGTGGTTATCTAAATAAATATTATAAATGTATTTATGTGTTTTCTTTTATTATTATATTTCCTGGAAGTTTAATCCAGATTATTCCTTTAATCCAATTTCCAATCCTAAAATCCTATGATTTCTTTTCTAAACAGTGCCTAATTTTTGAGGCATTATTACATTACATAATAATGATTTATATTTTTGTTTATAAATACATATCTACCTAAATATTTATTTATCACCGGTTAATTGAACACGTTACTAAAGATTGTTGTTGTTGACTACTGAAGATTGTTTTCTCGATTTTATTGTATCTAAGCAACACAAAATTGACTAAACTGAGTAAACAGCCAGTCATTGTTCATATTTGACAATAAATAACTTGCAAGATGTTATCGCGGCGAGATAAGCTGCTGATCCAGCCGTGGGAAGATCGCAGGTTCAAAGATCATCGGTCAAAAGTAAGTTCATGAATCTCGTAACTCGATAGTGATAATTGACCCTTGAGCTCGAAGTGTGCGTGAAAGCGACATGATTGATAGTTATAAAAATCCTTAGCGATTGAAGTCGCTTCTTAAACTAAATTATAAATAACTTGAAAAAATCGAACTGCCTAAGGCGGGAATCGAACCCACGATAATTTATAATGATTGATAGTAGTATACACACGACAGTACAGCAGATTCATACATTTTAGATGTAAAATCGCCCCTATTACAACTCAACTGTTGTTGAATTAAGATGCCAATGTTTGATTGATCTGCCTGCACCCATACATTATGAAGGAAACTGTTACATGCCGACTGTGGTTGGCGTGATTGTCTTGTAAGGCTTCCTCGCTTGCAAAATAACTTTATCTCTTGAAGGTTGCCTTTTTAACTCTTTATTAGGGTTTCTGATTTCTCGACTTATTTTTTTTCTCGAGTTTCGGGAATTCTCGAGTTTTCTCGGGTCTCGAGTCTTTTAATTAAAACTGTTGAAATTGGTTGAAGTTTAATAAAAACACGGGTTTTTATTAATGTTATAATGTGTCTGGGTTATAATCAATAATACTGTAAAGTTTTAACAAAATCCGTTCAGTAGTTTTTGCGTGAAAGAGTAACAAACATCCAGACATCCACACAAACTTTCGCATTTATAATATTAGTAGGATAATAATTNTAGATCAACTAATATAGACCCAATAATTAATATAAAGATAAAATATAATAAAAAACATCATTTATTTTTAAAAGTGCACATACAAAAAAGATCAATTAGTTTTTAGAGGATCAAATAATATTGTCCCATAATTTTAAAGCAACCAAAACTCATAGAGTATCTTCCTCGCAGGTGATAGCAGGCGAGGACCGCGAGGCAGTGGGGCAGCTGATCTCGATCGAGAACCAGGAAGGCGTGGTGAAGTTCGGCACCGACGACATCAAGATCATGCAGCTGCGTCACCTCTGCAAGATGAGCTCGGCCTAACGCGCGCCTCGCCTCAAGTTGGACGAGCCCCCGCAGGTTAAAAACAAAGTCTTATGACGCGCCACAGGGGCTACTTCCAAACTGTCCAAACTTCGTTTCGAGTCTATCCGTCATCTTCGCTCGTGCTGGCATCTCGCTGTACGTGAGAGGGATGGCAACATTCGAAACTTCGGATAACGTTTTTCGGAGTAACCCCCCAGCAAGTATTCGCACCCACGGGTTAGTAATAACGTCATGATTCTTTTGTAGATTTGAGGTACTTCTAAGAAGATGTTGAACTTTGAAGTAACTTGACACTTTAATAATGCGGCGTTATGTTGCATTAAGGTGAACGCACGCCTAATGCTCCAGGCGTCGAATTTTTGTGTTATTCTAATTTTAGTTTTCTAACTTAAGGCGAGATAATGGGGCAGGTGTGCGTTCACCCCCTGATCTGTGGTTTAGCTATGAAAATGTGATACCATAAACATTATAACTCAACTTATACTTAAGTTTTCTCTTGACGATGAATATCTATAAAATACAAGGTTGACAGACTATGCAAGTTTTGCCAATTATCCTTAAACTTCCATTAGTGGCATTGGTGCATCTTTGCAACAATATCTGGTAGTAAAATAGCCCAAGTCCTAGCCCGGCTGGTGATGATGGTAATTTAAAGTTGACTTACTCAACAAAACCTCATTTGTTAGAGAAATAATGTCGGGCACATTATTGAAAATCCATTTTGCATGTTTTATACTGCCACCAAAAATCTGTTAAAAAAATCCTAGCATTCATCTTAATTATTTCTTTCTTTTCTAAATTACATGCTTATTAGCTTTAGTATTTCTTTGACATAGAACTGATTTCAATGAGGGTTTTCGCGTATGAAAAATCCGCCAGATGGCAATACGTAGACGCGAGGTCCAAATGCTGCATGATTGGTTATTTTTGACATGACATTGACAGATATGCCAAAATCCACCAATCACGCAGCAGTCAGACCCCACATCCACATCCCGCCATCTAGCGGATCTTTCATTCGCGAAAACCCTCATTAGTCCCTTTACTTCTTAATTTGTGCGCGAGTGTCGGAAAACTTATTATTTATTAAATAAATAAATATTATATTTTGCGGAAATGAGGAAAGCGAAGCGTGTAAGTTGACGAATTCAAAGAAAACATAAATATTTTCATACAGTATTTATTTATTAAACAATAAAATACCGTACCAAATACAGAAATACATACATGAGACATGATTAAGTATGTTATATAAACAGATATCTGTGTATATCTATTTAGTGGTTATCTAAATAAATATTATAAATGTATTAATGTGTTTTATTTAATAATTATTATATTTCCTGGCAGTTTAGTCCAGATTATTCCTTTAATCTAATTTCCAATCCTGAAATCCTATGATTTCTTTTCTAAAAAGTGCCTAATTTTTTGAGGCATTAGTACATTACATAATAATGATTTATATTTTTGTTTATAAATACATAACTACCTAAATATTTATTTATCATCGGTTAATTGAACACGTTACTGAAGATTGTTGTTGTTAGCTACTGAAGATTGTTTTCTCGATTTAGATTGTATCTAAGCAACACAACATTGACTAAACTGAGTAAACAGCCAGTCATTGTTCATATTTGACAATAAATAACTTGTAAGATGTTATCGCGGCGAGATAAGCTGCTGATCCAGCCGTGGGAAGATCGCAGGTTCAAAGATCATCGGTCAAAAGTAAGTACATAATGAATCTCGGAACTCGATAGTGATAATTGACCCTTGAGCTCGAAGTGTGCGTGAAAGCGACATGATTGATAGTTATTAATTTCTTAGCGATTAGTCGCTTCTCAAACTAAATTATAAATAACTTGAAAAAATCGAACTGCCTAAGGCGGGAATCGAACTCACGATAATTTATAATGATTGATAGTAGTGTACAAACGACAGTACAGCAGATTCATACATTTTAGATGTAAAATCGCCCCTATTACAACTCAACTGTTGTTGAATTAAGATGCCAATGTTTGATTGATCTACCGGCAACCATACATTATGATTATGAAGGAGAAACGTGAGATTAACAAGCCGACTGTGGGTGGTTGGCGTCGTCTTGTAAGGCTTCCTAGCTTGAAAAATAACTATGTCTTGAGTTTGCCTCCAATAACTTTTTTTCTTATTCATGTGATACTTAGTTATCACTTGACCTATGGAGTTGATTTATAATTTGAATTAGATTAAAATATATCTGTCGATGCTACGTTTTACTAGCTTTTTCCCGCGTGAAAATGGCCTTGGTCAGTCTGATTCACGCGCGCAGGAGAGTGGCTTCTTTTATCCAAATCGGACCAGTGGTGAACATGAAAAGGTACAGATAGGTATTCAGAATAACTGTCATGTTTATAATATTGACTTATTTGACCGTGTCTCTGGAGGTGCGTTCTGCGCTGCCAGCGATCGACGCGCGCGCTCCTCCGTCCCGTCCGCACGTGGCGCTCAAACTGAAGCAGTGCCAGCGCGAACTGGAGCGCACGCGCAAGATCCAGCGCGACAACTTCGGTCTGCTGCAGCGGCTTAACGCCATTATGCGCGTCAACCGCCTCGACAACCACTGGCCGAAGCCGCTGCCCAAGTGAGTGTTGAAGGCTAGTTTCTGTTGCCCACATTGCGGACCACCAAAATAAAGGTAGCAGGAAGGATTTTCATTCTTTAGATGCAGGCTGAAAATTATTGGGGGAGGCCTATGTTCAGCAGTGGACTGTGACTGAAATGATGATGAGTTTTTGTATATGTCAGTAACAGTTGGCACCACTGATTCACTGGCAAGTGACAGGACCTTACTCTACAGTGGCGCCTTTCTGTTGAGTACTTAAGCGATAGTCCTCTAACTGCTTCAGCTATCTCCAGTTGGCGCCACTAGCGCATGATACCTATGCCGATGAGCACATAATGATGAGAAGCATCACTATCATTATGTGCCCGTGCTCTTTCAAATCACGTGGGTAGTGTGGAACGCCTATAAGTTGCACAAATGACCTCATTAAAGGTTGCAGGAAGTCGCTGGACTGGATGCAGGCCAACCGGTCAATCTGAAAATTATTGTAGGAGACCCGCTTATGTTTAACGGTGGATGTCCTTAGTCTAAAATGATGACGTTATCGTGGTTTATCTAGTACTAACATTTTAGGCAATAATTCAGCCACCAATGGATAATATTTACAAATTCCATGCATTGACTAATGCCCATCCCGTATTCTCGTTTCGTACTATTTCAAACTCAAGCTTTCTATCTTTCTCTGTCTAGCTTCCAGCAGAAGGTGGGCCTGTTCTACGACGCCATGTCGCTGCGCAGCCGCGTGACGGCGCGGTCGGCGCCCGACGAGTCTAGCGTCTCGTCCTACCACAACGTCAAGTGCTACGCCTGCGACCTCAAGAAGGCTAGTATTAGGCTTGATTTCCTCCTACGCTGACGTCGGTCGCGTACATCGGTCGAGCGTACGAATAAACACAATGTTCTATGAAGCACCGCACTGCAACGCCGTCGTCAGCGGCAGATGATTACATAGAATCGTGCGCGCCGCTGACGTCGGTCACCGATGTCGAAAAGGAAATCAAGCCTTACGTGTTTACACAGCTTCCAACTTGATTATAGTTCCAAAATACTGAACTGTCTTATCGATGACATTGACAGTGGGGCGCCACCGTCAATACCGAATCGCTGGTTCCGATTTTTGCCATGTTGGAAACCATATAGTTGAACGATGGTAGCGCCCCCCTGTCATTGAGTTTGGTGGGACAGTTCAGCGTGGGTCATCTATACTTGACATTTTTTGCGTATAGGTCGCGCTATCAAAGTTAGGCGAACGCAACGTCACACCTAATGTAATATTTCAATACAGAACACAAAAGACGCGTCAGCGCTACAAGTGTATACAGATACAAATATCTGTATTAAAAATATTTTTCTTTTTCAGAAACATTTCGAATTCAAGATGCTGGAATTAAGATCACCGGAAGACTCGCTGCCTTCAATTTTCTAAATATTTGTACCATTTCTTATTTAAAATAAAAATCAATTAATATTGGACAGAATTTATTGGTATATAGATACAAATGGGCTTAATGTCAGAACATAATCGATAACCTTAAAATACGGTGTTCACTCTAGTCCTGAGGTTCTGATGATATTACATTCGGAGTTAAAATCGAAACATAAATACTATGTTATTATCAAAAGCATCAATAGTAAGCGAATACATCCCCGCGTACGTCGTACGCGCACTTATCGTTAAAGCTATCCACTTCATGTCCATCGTCCGTTTACGTCACAATACGAAATCGAAAACAAGTTGAAAATATTTTGAAACATCACATTAGAGTTGTATCACAACGAAACCGCAGCAGGGCCGGGGCCGTGCTGGGGCCTTTTTGTAACGGCCCGTTGAATCGACGAACGACACGGGCTCCCCGCGCGAAGCCCTAGCGGGGGGCCGCACAATAACAATTTACACGAGGCGTCGCCGGGCGGGCCCGGGGCCGGGACTATCGTTCGTGAATCCAGCGGAGACGCGGCGGGCCTAGAAGCGCAGCGCGTCGTGCGGGCCCGCCGCCGCGTCGAACTGGAAGCCGCCGTCCGCCGCCGCAGGCACTAGTGTCGCATCCTCCTCCTGGAAAAAGTACTCACGTTAGAATTTGTGCTTGGATCTCTCAAACATATAAGATAGGTGCGGTGTTGTCGGGCAGAGAACGAGTTATTAATGACAGCCTGAGTGGCTCATATTAAAATTTGTAGGGTTAAAAAAATAAGTGGAGGCTCCATTGCTCGCTCAGTGTAACAACATTTTAGCAAAATATAACACAAAAATATTGGTAATTTAAATTTTACATTCCACAAAAACACATTCCAAGACAATGAGTAATTTCGACAGCTTTTTGACTTGTTCCTTTGACCTATAACATCATAGCGGAACTGAACTGCGCATAATATGACGCGTCTTTCTTTGTACAACTTGTGCAAACAAAAACAGATTCACGTACACTATAGAGCCATGCGCCACCAATTACAGACAAAATGAACTGAATAGTGATACTATTTCTATCGTGATGCCCATTGCAAGAGGAGGCCATTCTGCATATTATCATGACTTGCTCTGACATCTCTGATTCTGTATTTGTTCATACTCAGAGTACTGGAAAAGCAGTGACAAATTACAGACAGCACTTCAAGCCAAACACAGTGTCTGTAACATCTTATCACTGTAATAACTGGCATTTTGCAACAAAAAGTCTGATGGACTGTCGTCAGTACAACAGCGTCAAATAGTTCGTGACGCCCAAAGTGGCCAAAAAGTTGGTAACACAACCTTATTCCAATGAGGGTTTTCGCGTATGAAAAATCCGCCAGATGGCAATACGTAGACGCGAGGTCCAAATGCTGCACGATTGGTTATTTTTGACATGACATTGACAGATATGTCAAAATCCACTAATCACGCAGCAGTCAGACCCTATATCCACGTCCCGCCATCTAGCGGATCTTTCATACGCGAAAACCCTCATTGTAACCAGACGTGTTGCGAACTTTTTGGCTACTTTGCGTGGTATTTTGCAAAAAAATGTGTCATGAGAACTGACCTCCCCAGCGAAGTACTGCTCGATGATGTCGTAGGCCATCTTGTAGATCTCGACCTTCTCGTGGCTCTGCAGCGCCTCGATCTTGTCGATGCCGCCGCACTCCTCGATCATGTTGGCTACCTGCTCGGCGTTTTCGCCCGCCATCTTGAGCATGTTGCTCAGACCGTCGAGCACCACCTACAAGGTATTAGGGTAATAATCATAGTGTTTTACATGGTTATTAGCATATTCAGTGGAGACATTAATGTCTGTGAATCAGTTGATGAAATTGTTATAAGTAGTAATGATCCCTTCAACCTAGTGACTGGACAGTTTTCCAGACTGTCATTTGCATGGAGAGGAGCAAACAAACTACATAATATATGAAAAATCAAATGTTAGTGTCGACTAGTGGTTCCATTTCATGATTAGTTATTATAAATTTTCCAATAAGAAAATATTTCATTCATCAGATTCCCATACCAAGTTCTAGGCCAATATTTACTAACAAAATCAAAGCTCCTCTAGGAAAGTTACAAAACATGACAGTTTTTATTTTGAAATCGCTTCAGGGTTTTTTTGTAATTACTTCGACATGTCTTGTAACTTCTCTAGCGGGATCAGTGTTAATTTAAACTCACATTGATGACTTGAGTGTCTTTGCAGCTCAGCAGGTTGCAGAAGGGCGGTATAACTCCGCAGTTGATCAGTGTGGCCACCTGGTCCTTGGTGCCGCTGATGCTGAGGTTGGACACGGCCCACGCGGCCTCCTTCTGTGTCTGGAACTCGCCCTTGCGCAGGTTGTCGATGATCAGCGGCAGCAGGCCCGCGTCGATCACGGCCTGCACCTGGTGTTTGTTGCCCGCTGTGATGTTCGATAGGAACCACACGGCCTCTTTGCAGATCTTTTCTTTCTGGAACGTTCAATAAACAGTGTAAATATCAAGCCATTTTAATTGTGTAATTTTTTATATCAAACCTATGGAAATTACAAAGCTTGTAACGCTAGGCAGAAAAAGAATATACACATAATTCAACAAACAATTTATACATACACAATTTAACAGTATAAAAATTATCACAATTTGACAAGTTTAACATTTTCTCAAAAAAGTGCATACCTGATGTGTCAATAACGCTGGGAAGTGCGAGAGAGCATCGCAGTTGAGTACGATCTGTGTCTGTTCGTCCGTCCCTGTCACGATGTTGCCCACCGCGCGGAGCGCTGCCGTTTGCACTTTCATCTCCTTGTGTGATAGTAGTGGGATCAGTTTGGGGACTATTCCAGATTCTATGACCATTTGGATAAGTTCATTTCCACCGTCTGTTAAATAACTAATTGCCCACACTGTGTCTACTAAGATCTGTAAAAGAATACACAGAATTATTTATTTANCTAAAATATAACAAAGAATTGAAAATTGTTTAAATGTTAAGTTGAACATTCAAATCTTAGTAACAATTTTATTTTTGACAGAAAAGTTAATGCCAATTATTAATAATCCATGATAGCAATGACGAAATATTTTTATTTTAGATTGCACTGCCGGTTATCAGTCAGACTTTATCACCACTCTAATGTTTGATTAGACAGCAAAAAAACAAATCTTTAAACAAAAGGCTCTCTATAATTTGTGTTGATATTTGTTCATTCAATTTCAATTACTTTTAAATACCTACTTATTAATGTTATATTTGTTCATTCAATTTCAATTACTTTTAAATACCTACTTATTAATGTTAAGTTATTTTAAAAAATAAGGTAGTTTAGTAAAAACTAAAATGATTTTTTACTTTTGCAAAGAAAAACAATTAAAACTAAAGAATCAACAAAAGTCATTAAGCATTAATGTTAATAATCCTGTTATAACAATTTTATATCAAAGCCATTTACTGGAAATCACTCATGAAATTCAAGTGGTGAAATAGGTGGTTAAAATTGTGAACCAAAATAATAAATACTCACACTAGTGTCATTATGAACGATGAGTACATTGAGAGCGGGAAGAATTTCTAGAATAGTTTTAGCTGGTGGCGGTGGGTCCTTACTCCTGCACAGGTTGACGATCACCCACGTCACATTACGAAGGAACGAAATAGGAATTTCTGGTTTGATGAAGCTCAGCAATGGCTTAACAACTCCCATCTCTATGACAAAGTCCCTCAGCACGGGCCCGTCTCCAATTATGTTACCCAGAGCCCACACCGCCTGTTCGCAGACATTCTCATGTGGGGACATAAACAGCTGCAAAAATAAGGGCACAGCACCGGCGTGGACCACTTTGTTCGTCTGTGCCGACGTCCCGGACGCGATGTTGGTGAGCGCCCAGGACGCCTCGAACTGGAGCGTGGGGTTGTCGGCTCTGGAGAGGCACTGCACGAGGATGGGGAGGATGCCGTTCATGATGAGCTCGTCGATGGGCGGGCTCTTGTCCGACGACAGCAGCTTGCGGCACTGCTGCACCGCCATGAGCTGCACGTCGGGGTTCTCGGCGTTGGCCGCGTTCATCACCAGCTCCTTCAGATTGGTCGCCGCCAGTGACCTCTCGATCTCGTCCTCGTCTGTGGAGTCGTTGATGGGCACATTGCGACGCTTTTGGAGCGTTTCGTCCCTTTTATTCTTTCTTAGCTCAACTGTCACTTCGTTCCTTCGCCTGCGCATTTCCTGAAAAATAACACGCGAGGAGTGTGAGTATACCGGGTGACGGACATTTTGGCGTGTGATTAAAATGGTAAACCGAATTTTGTCACAAAATATACTCACATCGACATCTTTTCCAGTGTTCTTGAATACATGCATGCGGTTTTTTGCTTGGTCAGTCGCCATTTTATTTGTGCTCACAATTTATGAACTAGCGTGGTAATTACACAATGAAACAAAGAATTAACATAAAATTATTTCGTAGAAAACTAATCAAACATGTTTCAACGGTACTATACTACGTTGCTGATTCATTTAACCTCTTTCAACACAGAAAATTCTACAACACGAAACTAATCGTCCGTTTCCTCAAAATTCTTTTCTTTTTGACATCATAGACAATATTTTTTTCTCATAATGGCGGACAGTAAGGCGGTACCATCATGATTTTACTAGCTCATAGACAAACTCGAACTGTCAATTAAATTGATTATTCAATTAACCAATCACTATTCAATTAAGTTAGATAATTGCTATATTAAATAATTAATTACATTATAATGCGATAAAATTGTGCATTGCATACCAAGTAACCGTAGTAATATGTATCCTTTTATTTTTATTCATATAATATTTCCATTTTGTGTAATAGCAACAATTTGTCCCGTATTGATTAATGTAGTCCTTGCTGTACCGGTACAGGCGCAGTGAAAATAAACAAGCTACCCAAGTGCGTATTTCCCGGAGTATTGATTTATTTGTTGGAGCCACAAACAGTGCGGCCAGGTGCATCTGCGACGCAGTAACCCGCTGAATTACTCCATCAAGATGACTGTACTAACTAAAGCCAGCAATATGGTCCGGAACAAGCAAGACAGTACGATTAATTTGCCGCTCGTCGAACCGACTAACGACGTCGTAAGTATTGAGACATTTTGCTTATTTTTCGACGTTCTCTAAATGCGCCATTTCGTAATACAACTGTTGAATTTTAAATTTTGACAATTTACTGCCAGTAATTCAGTGTTTTTTTTAAGTAAAATAAATAGATATTTATAATTTTATTTTTATTCCATACAAATTTTATCAATAACAGGAAGGAAAGTACACCTGTGGGTTAACAACTATTGACCTTGTAACATCAATGTTCACAATAATATCGAATTAATTATTTTTGAGAAACAATTATAAATCTTTAAAATGTCACCAATTTATACCTACCCACTTTATAGATCCTACCCGCGAAATTAAAATTACAACCAATTACTTACCCCAAATGAATTGAAATAATATTTTGTTTATCTACCCGCTTTTTGGGGGTATTATTTTTGACCTATTGTGAACAGGTATGATGACCGTATAATCAAATCGCAAGAACTGTTGACAATTTTATTTAAAAAGTTTCGCAAAAATTAAGTGACTTATTGGTTTTGACTTCCACTTACTTACATTTAACCTGAAGGGCAAAACATTTTTAGACCCTGTGACTTTTAAATTTGATGGAAGCAATTTTACCTAATAAACCAACAAAAATACTTAAGTAGTTCTAAATTAAGCCACGATAAGAAATCGTGGCTTTCTTATCGTTGGGTAATTCCCGCCTTAGGCAGTTCGATTTTTTCAAGTTATTAATAATTTTCAAGCTTTCTTATTATTACTAAATCATGATGTTTGTCTTGACGATAAGCTTGATAACGACTTGGCGGGGCACTCTCGTGCCCCCCGATAACTATCATTTGGTGATGATGTTTTTTTTAATAATTTTCCTGTTTATGCATAAAATTGTGGTTTCTGTGAAATTAACCACTAAAAACCTGATGGGCGTTAGCAAAACTACAACTTTACCAATTTTAAGTGACCCTACTTAAAGTAGGTAGGGTATACCTATTCCGCAAATAAGTAAAGGTTTGATTTCAGCTCAATCATACTCCATGGCACCATTTTCCTCAAGGGGAAATTCCATTCTTATCACAAGCAGCATACGCCATATTGTTTCGTGGTGCGAATTTTGGTCTTCTTAATTGTTTTTGTTCCTACTGGACTTTTCAGAAACATTCGAGAGAAAAATTGAACAAGAGATATTTCCTTTGAGAATTATTTCAGTCCAGAGTAGGGGTTATTGGTGGTTCTTTTTGTCTATTAGAGTCTCAAAAGAAAAACTAGGCAGCATTGGACTCGCTTGTTTCCAGGAGGTTGCTTCTTTTTGTCTAAGGATTGTCTAAGAAGTTTCAAAAGAAAACTAGGCAGCATTGGACTCGCTTGTTTCCAGGAGGTGAGCTGCGAGCGGCCGCGGCCGGCGCCGCAGAAGGTGTGGGTGTACCGCACCTACTGCAACATGGTGGTGCTGTGCACGACCTTCTTCGTGCTGGCCGTCATGCTCATCGGCGCCACCGCCGGCCTCATGTACTACAGCGAGACCATCCGCAGCGGCCCCTCCATGCGATACAAGGGATACTGCGCTGTACCACTCAACTTGGTGAAGGTGAGAAGCTTATTGATTCTTTTCTTATCTATCTTCTTCAATCTGTAATCTGTCAATCATCGACTAAAGGCACCTTCCTCATCCTGTACCTATCGATTATCGACTAAAGGTATAGTACATTTTCCGCCAATATGTTGGGCTTTATGTTTAAAAAAAGCTACATGGACCGTAAGAGATGATTATGCTGATCCGATTTAGATGATTTTAACTGATATAGTGATAGTTTGAGACCCAGGGTATACCGTAGTGTAACTAATTAAATTATGACCAAAATTCCAAATGTTGCTCTCAATCTCAGAACCTGTATTCTGAGTTCTCAATATAATATCTCAATGTCAAAGGTCAAAGGTCACTTGATTAATGCTCTATGCACGAAAAAAATACCACAATATTTACATCCAGATGCGTTTCCCGGAGATGGCCGAGACCCTGATGACTCTCCCGTTCAAATCGGAGCGCGAGGAAAGCGCGGACTCCGAGATCGAGCGCCTGGTGGAGCGCTTCGAGGTCGCCGACACCGTCGAGAAGATCACCGTCCTGAACGGCCAGCACGAGGTCGAGTTCATCCACGACTTCGAGACCAATGCCACAGGTAACTTGCACCTTCATCGATCATTTATCAGCCACAGGAACACGCTGCTGAACATAGGCCTCCATTGATTTCCAGATAGAGCAGTTAGTAGCGGCCTGCATCCAGGGCCTTCCTGCTTTATGAGATCGTCTGTCTTCCTTGTGGGTGGACTGGTTACACTTTTTTCATCCATATCCAACTTACTTCCTAATACAACGTGCCATGCATGCGATAGATTTCTGTGACAGAAGGGAGAAGTCGCCGCGTCTAAAATTAAGACTCCTCATCTATAGCGAAAAATACATTACAGCCTGTGTTTTGCTCGAATCTACGTTTTGTGCGATAGATAGTAAGAGCTACGCTAAATATCCTACTTAGGCTGGGTTGCACCAGCTTACTTTAACTTTGACAAACGTCAAAAATGTGTCAAAATTCATACAAAAAGCACCGGTTATCGTCAAAGTTGGGTGGTGCAACCCAGCGAATGTTTGTTACTCTTTCACGCAAAAAGTACTGAACGGATTTTGTTGAAACTTTACAGTATTGTTGTTTGTAACCCAGCTTAACATATAGGCTATAATTTATGCCGATCTGTGACACTAAATTTCGCGGGTGAAGCTAGCAAAAGCTAGTTCTATCATAAATTATTTCCAGTGTGGTTTTAATAGATTAGCTTACCAAACATCTAACCGCAATGTTCAAGGCATCGTGGACGAGAAGCGCTGCTTCACCATGGAGCTTGACCCTGAGATGGTGTCGTCGCCCGACGTGCTGGTGTTCAACATCGAGCGCGGCGACCTGTTCGACGTCATGCGCGCGCGCACCAACATGCACGCGCTCGTCGCGCCGCCGCACGGCATGCGGATCACCTCGCTCTTCGCCGAGAAGTGCGATTACAAGCCCACATACAAACTGAGGAAGGGAACCGGGAACGTCAGTAAGTACATGGGTTCTTTAAACGATTGTTTTCGTTTCAGCAGAATGACGTCCACTGATGGATAAAGACGTTTCCGTAGGATTTCTGCAACGGCCGGTCTTGCGCTACCGTTCACCTCGTGTGTAGTCTACCCACATTTAGGTACGCCTTTCAGTCCGTGGTCGCCACTCGAGAACTTTTCTGCCCTAACGGCCATCGGCTCTACGAGCTGTGTATCCCGCCTATTACCACTAAATTTGGCAATTCTGAGGGCTATGTTGGGTAATTTAGTTTTCCTGTGGATTTCCTTATTTGTGATACGGACACGCAGGGAAACTGCGAGCGTTACACGCTCCATAGTCTTTTGGGTGACCTTGAGCCTTGTTGTGTGGCCCATAGCATAGTAAGCAATCATCAGCCATCCCTTAAAACAGGTTGATCAACTTTTTAGTAGGTACCTAGTACCTACACAAATTATCTCTGTTTCTATTGTACCTATGTCATTCNTATAAAAAAGTTCATCCCCAATTTTCCACCCTTGTGGGTTGTTTTTTTATTATTAAACTAGCTGACCCGGCGAACTTCGTACCGCCTTAGCGTAGAGATTTTCTTAATATTTTTTTCCGTAAGAACCATCCTTGGACTTCCACAAACATTTTAAAAAAAGAATTATCGAAATCGGTTCAGCCGTTCACACGTGATGCCGTGACAACGCGAAACGGGTTTCATTTTTATATATATAGATAGATAGATTTAAATGAGACCACCCTTGAGGTATTACCTATACGCCAAAAAAAGATTTGTTCAAATCGGTTCATAATTGGCGGAGTTATCGCGTAACAAACATAGAAAAAAAAAACATACGGGTCGAATTGAGAACCTCCTCCTTTTTTTGAAGTCGGTTGAAAACTAGGCAGCATTGGACTCGCTTGTTTCCAGGAGGTGAGCTGCGAGCGGCCGCGGCCGGCGCCGCAGAAGGTGTGGGTGTACCGCACCTACTGCAACATGGTGGTGCTGTGCACGACCTTCTTCGTGCTGGCCGTCATGCTCATCGGCGCCACCGCCGGCCTCATGTACTACAGCGAGACCATCCGCAGCGGCCCCTCCATGCGATACAAGGGATACTGCGCTGTACCGCTCAACTTGGTGAAGGTGAGAAGCTTATTAATTCTTTTCTTATTCATCTTCCTCCTGCATCTGTCGATCACCCAGTAAGTTGCTAAAGGTATGGCATTTTCTGCCAATATGTTGGACTTTACGTTTAAAAAAGCTACATGAACCATAAGAAATGATTATAGCCGATTCAATTTAGATGATTTGAACTGATATAGAGATTAATTTAAGGCTGGGTTGCACCATCTTACTTTGACATTAACAAACGTCAAAAATCTGTCAAACTCCATACAAAAACACCGGATATCGTTATAGTTATAG